TGGAAGATTGCTTGGTAGAAAGACCTTCTGGAATGTGGGGTCCTATTACATCAGCAGCGAGTTCACTACTTCCATAGCCGTTCTTGTTTGGCCACCGAACGTCCTGACCTCACCTTTCGTAGACCATTGACATGCTTGCACAGTAATTTTCGGTTAGCACTGAAGGTTTTTGCGGGGTTTTGCTCAAATGCGGCTTTGTCTTCTCTTAGCAGTTGAGTGCAGTGTTTACGTTAGGCTACGTAGTTCTTCTACGATTCCGGCGTTGGAGATTCTTTGTACACCCGCGCTAATGTAGACTTATTACATACACTTAACTCTGCTGAATATGCAGGCAGCTGACTGCATTTGTTGACAAAATTGAGCCAGGCGACATCCAGGGTTTCTTTGCAAGCGAAGGAACAATTTGCAGCGCTGATTAGTCAGACTAACCGATGGTAGATTGCAATGGTTCGCATAGTCTCATGGTTGGCCTTCCGATATTCCGCATAGCAGACTAATTTAAAACTGATGGCTGCATTATCACTGTGACCCCACTGGCAGTTTCCGGAATACACGTGCATCATGTGCTCTTTGTTGGTAAGTAAAAGATCCAGCGCAGATGGACTGTTCCCTGTTCTGAACGGCGTAGGAAAAGTGATGTGAGTGTAAAGCGGAAAAGTGCTTACGAGCCCCTGTAGACCGGTTTTGAATTATTCTCTGACGGTGCCAAGGGTTTCTGAATAATGTACGTTAAAATCACTCATGATAAGCAAGTGAGTGTGTTTTCGCTGTCAACTACTTCTTAAAGCAGCCGCAAGGTGGCAGTCGGTAGAGTTAGGGGGCGGTACACCAAGACACTAAGGCAACGGTCTCTGCCATTTAACTGCAAGCAACACCAAATAGAGTCGTGGAACTGAGTCTGAATCCTCCAAGACTGCGCAATATAAGTCGCTTAGGTAATAAAGGATTACCCCACCTCCTTTTATGGGTCTATCGTTTCGGATGAGCAACATGTCCGGCAGCGAAACTACAACGTCCGTTATTCCAGTGTGTAACCATGTCTCACTAATACCGATGATAGCATATGCCCAGGAAGCTTGGCGATCTTTCATTTCGGCAAGTTTATTAAAAAGGTCCTGAGAATTCGCATACAAGCAGACCAGTTTGTCGGTCTCTGGGATCCCACAGAGGACTAAAAGGGGCAACTTTGAGTGAATGCCGACCGATGAGAGGTCGGTAGCTACTCATTTGTTGACGGTATAATGATACCTCGTATGTAATTTAATTCGGTCAAGTTGCGTCCCAATCTTCGTTTGGAGTTTGGATAGAGTGGCGTGAAAAAGCAGTCCACTTAAGCTCCTGTATCCTCGCCGGTAACTTTGCTGCTTCAGCTGCTTTGATAGATTAACTTTGAGAAATATTTGCGGCCATCAACTGATGTTCAGAAGAAGGCACTTTGTTTTCTCTGCCGTCGACCCGAAACATCCGTTGCTGTTCGCTCCGACTAAACCACATGTTTTAGGATTCTTGGGCGGCGTCCTCGATAATTTGGTTTGAGGTTTAGCCTGCTAAGCGATAGCGCCATAATATTATTCAGGGAAATTGTTGAATGAACCACCACTGTTCTAAATCGTGCGTTCCGGCATCATCGACGTCATTTGAAGTATCTCTGGCACCCCGTGTCTTAAGACTGTGTTTAGGCGATCATGTTTACTGTGTCCTTATTCTGAGTTTCTTTTTGTTTATCGCGCGCTTCAAGGGACATCACGATAGATGTGTATCCCAAAGGACTGTGTCATAGCGCTTGCGGAGTCTAAAACCTTTTTTAAATCAGTGGAGGATTCGAGTGTTACTAGAATAAGTCTCGGTTCTACATAGTGTGGCGAGTTCGGATGACGAGTAATTCGTAATACGTTTATGGTTTTCTCTTTGAGACATATCAGCATGCACTTGAGTTCCATTGACCTCGCTCGTCCGATAACACAATGTGATGGTGGTGAATTCAGGGACACTTGAGCACACAACAGTTCGGGTAATATCGTTGGAGCCCTTATTCCTTGATCTACAAGGTAGGGTAATCGTTTGTCCTGACCTGCTGACAAGTGTTGATTACTTATTTTTCGTCTCGCTATTCACATTAACGGTGTTGACAACAGAAGAAGTCGCAAAAGCGGCATCCCGGCTGACCTTTGCAGCAATCTTTGCATATGTACCTGATGTTTTGAAGAGCTTTGTCTTTACACGAGACATCTGAGCTACACAAATCGAGAGTTGGTGTTAGTCTGCTTCATCCTTTTTAATGATAGATGTAAGGTCTAGTGGAGTTTGCTTAACCAGACGTTTCGAGTGATGTCTGAGTTTCGTTGCCATGAGTACTGCTTGACTCTCGTAGCTACGGTCAGTTTTTGCCTTCCGTTCTACTACAATTAGATAAGACAAGGGAGTTGGGACGTGGCTAATTAGAGCTGAGGGGAAGCGCATTGTACAGCAACTACGCTTCCCTTGTGCATACTCACTTCCATTCAAGTAACACTATCGTTCAGTTGCTGCTCGGCTTCTGCGGTTAACCGGTCGCAGTTCTGGACTAGGATAAGACTACACTTAACGAGTGGGGTGGTCGAGAAAGCAATACAGGACCAAAGGAGATCTTGAGATATTTCGTTATCCTACCTGCTGTTGCAACAACGTTGCACACTTCGGAAGATAGCATTCCAAAAATTGCGTGCATGCCTACCCTATTTTAACTAATCGATGACATTCTCCTAACCCGCAAATTACTTTTGCTTAGAGCCCTTTCGGATTCTCATTGCTGCCATTCAACATGGTGTGGTTACCTGACCCAGTGGATGAGTCGACGTCTTGTACTTTTCCAGCTACGATGGCCGCGCGAGCGTTGTGGTCACAAGGTAAAATGACAGTTCGGCTTGGTTGCGCGGTCCGTATGACGGGTAATGCAGGTGCACTAGCTGACAAGTTCCCAAATAATGTTGGGTGAATGAAAGCAGAACTGAATCTGAACACAACGCTGAATACAGATTGAGAGATGACAAATTCCTGTACAACTACGTTGAGAAACATCGGATCGGAATAAGCCTAGTCTTTCCAGGCTACCTTGAAAATTCGGTATCGAATGATGTTACACAGAAGGACAATCAGCTCAAATTGATTGAGTTATCCGCTTGTATTTGACCACAAATAACAGTTAAAACAGCTCGTGGTGGTGAAGATGATAAAGTAAAATAATATTTCCACGTGTGTTGAACCATTATGAATGGCTGGTAAATCCGGTTCGAATGAGCGTAATATGACTAGACTGCGAGAAGTTTGATAGAAGATACAGAAGATTAGTCCAAGTGACCCAGGAGCACCCACTTCATCTGTCTTGGGATGCATCCAAAGTGTTGCTATTCAAAGCAGACAACGAGGACCTATCGAATTTCGAAGGTGATCCGTCGCAGCCACTACCCTGTAGAAAACATGAAATACGTTAGGAAATTGTGCTTTGATTTCATTATCAAGCATGTCTATGCTCTGAGTAGAGGACGGCTTTGCTTTTCTGAAATCCAGTTTGGCTTCCGGTTTTTCCACATTGTAAACTGTCTACCAGTAGCCCACAGTGCTCGATGGAGGGTACAAGCCTGCGGCGGCTTTCACTTTGCGAGTGCCGTAAATTTTCTTTCCACTTTAATTTTTAACACAATGTAATTTGGGTAGAGCAATATGTTTGCCAATGCACAAAAGCTTTATTTCTTTACTACAAACTAAGCATTACCTTTTATCCAAGTACTCTCCACCAGCGTTAATGCAGAACCACATGCGCTCAAACTATTTGGAGAAGAAGCTAGACGAATTGGAGGCGGGTACCTTTTCAAGCAGCTCCATAAAGACCTGTAGCAAAGCTTCTGGAGACTAGTAGCAGATCCCACACATTATGCGCTTGACATTTGGGCACACAGCACGTCACACGGAACCAAATCTGGACCGTAGGAGGATGATAAACATTCTGCATGGCTTCAGTAGCCAGAAAACGTACGACGACAGGGGAACTGTGTGCAGGTGCCTTCTCATGTGGAAGCAGGGTCCCTCGTGCTTGCGCGCTTGGACGGCTTCTGCCTACAGCTCCCAGCAATTTTTGCAGGTAGTACGTGGCATACCAGTCTCTGGAGACTGGGCGTTGCCATACGAAGGTTACAGTGTTCACATGGCTGGTCATGGCCACGAACATTGCCACCACTTGCTTGGTCACACCGCGCTCGCACCCGAAATTCTGAGGCGGAGCACAACCAACTGCTGTCCTCTGACCAGATTGTTGCTTGATCTCTGGGTCGAAACTGTACACCCAGGTCTTATTGCCACTGAAGATCTCCCACACAGCATTGGAACGTCCACAAGCAAACCTGCGAAGCAAGGTGCGGCACCAATTCACTCGAGCTGCTTTCTGGTCTTCAATGAGTTGATTAGGTACCCGGCGTGCGCAAACCTTTCTGAGGCCAAGGTTCTCTTGTGCGATGGTGCGGTTTGATCCCGATAAGAGCCCCTTGGCTTTCGTCAAATGTACTAAAGTCACTCACGCCTTCTCCTCCTGCAAGGCTTACACAGCAACAATTTTGTCTGCGGTGGCGACCTTCAAGCTCGATCACAAGGTACCTCATCAAGCACGGACCACCTGACATGCTTGAATTCCGCATATCACTCAAAAACTGTGGTTCTTAAAGGCGCATCATCCCCAAAGGCAGCATTCAATTGCTGCACACTGTTGCTTTAAACTAAATTGGAAATCATACAAAGTCATTGCCCTCTAGTGATATAGACGGGGTTACATATTTACAGCTTGAGTATATTGAATCTTATAAATTATGAGCTGTGCTGTTCTTCTGATATACGGTTCTGTGTGTTGAAATCACTGAACAATGTTCTGAATGGATCATAGTTCACGTTTTGCTAGTCAGTTTATCTGTACCTAACTTGTTCACTGCTTATCCAGAAACTTATTGCTCTGCCCTCGTACTTTGCTTTAACAGTCCGAATCGTTATCTGAAAGAGCTAGAAGAATTGGTGGAAACAAATGACGACCACATAGTAGACACTGCTGCTCAAAATCTAGCCAAACTTCAGCGGAAACTTGCCCAAGAAAAGAATTCACTGAGTCTTGAGGAGAGAACAAGCTACCGGCAAGGGCACACTTCAATGGAATCAAAGGATCAGGTCTACAAAGTACGGATCTTCTTTGAAGTTTATTCACTTGTTAATAATTTTGCATTTAACCTGGGGCATAGAAAGCATCGGGTTGTCTTCTTATCGGGGCTCATCAATAGTGCACATTGTCGACTAATGATGTGACAATTAGTGGACTACGACATAACCAGCCTGAATACAGATAGCGGTGGTATTCGATAGGGATAGACCACAATCAGCTCGCCCTCATGTGAAATGGCACCTTTTCTGACAATGTGAATAACAGAATAATGGTACATACAGAACCTGGACTAAAGTGATGCTCTTTCCTTAGCTAGCTTTTTAATAGAGGAAGAACAACCGAAATGTAATTTCGATTAATACGATCAATATTATTCGATACCATCGGTAACACAACATACGAAATGTCAAGTAGAACAATAGTTACATTCACTACAAGTATACACCGCAACGGTCTCACTAACAGAGCAAGCATGTGGACAAAAACACACTGAAAATTGCAGGATGACCTTAGGGATTGGTTTTCAGCGAGCAGACACTGAAACCGCTCCCGAACTGATAGCCAAATTTCAGGGCCTAATGACTGTTGTCGACCGGTTTCAGGAAACACTGGCAGAGCGTTCTGGTACTTTTCCGGATTTTATGTGGTTATTTTCTGAGCACACCTATACTGCCATTCGATTTATTAGCCTTCTATTATTCAATCCACTGATTTCCTTGATTTTTACATCGAGAGCTTCCTACATTAGGCTCACCGTTTCCTTGCGTTAAGCTGAAATATGTCCAGCAAACTATCGGTTACTTTTGCATTATTGGAACAGTGCTTTTATACGGGTAAAAAAGCTAGTGCTTAACAGGTTCAGTAGGATGCGTATGGCGAAAATATAACATCTAGAATATTGTCAGCAAACTTGGGTTTACACTAGTGAACTCCCGGAATTATACGTAGTCTAGACTGCAGATCCAAGCTAAATCCTTGAGAAATGACGACAAATGGGATATTGGTAAGAATCGTGTCTCCTTCTGGTGTATACCTAGAGGAGGTGAAAAACGTGGATCAAAATCTGGACTGTGACCGCTTACAGACGCTTGTGTTTATACATGGGTAATGGGTTATGTAAGATGGTGCAGGGCAATGAGTGCACACTCAACTCGGGCTTTGAACTCTGCCGGCGGGTGGGGGGGACACAGAGGACAGATTCCGACAGGGTATTGCATCTTCGGCAAACGCGTACGGAAAAGAAATTCAGACAACATTTCCAGGGACAGTGTTGCTCTCTCAGTTTAAGATGGTGACCTCACAATCTGCTGTTGTGGTTGAGCTCTAGTAAGTAGCGGCTTGCGTGGTTGGGATTACACAAAATTTGGTTAGTCAAAATGAGGTCCCCTTGCAATCGCCGATACTGTAGGATGAAGACCCTTGCACTTGTAGCTTCGTTCATACGGCAACTTATACAGACGTTTGACATTCATGGTTGCCTGGCTTTAATGTATCTCCAAGGCGGTGAGACCTCTCCTCAGTCATGGATTCCAGACCTGTAATGCGTAATCCACATATGGCCGTATCTATGAGCCGAGAAATTATGAAAAAATCGAAGGGTCGAATAGTCCGAATGCAAGCGTCAGGATGCCCACTTGTTGAATGCCCCTCCTAGACGCCGTTTCAGTCTGCCCCGAACATCCTAGGTGGGTTCATCCCAGTTGGCTTTGTCAATATAATACCATTCTCTCGATTATACTGAGACACAAACCTGTGAATTCCTAATACTTGTCGGCCAGTTAGACCATTGATCCACCAATACCGGTGTAGTTTAATGACGAAGCCCGAAAGCAAAACTACTTCCCTGTGTCGAATTCATGGCACTTAGTTAAAACCAACTAACTACTTCAGGACAGGAACAAATACGTCAAAGTTCACTGTCGTGAAATATTACTTCAACGTGTCATAAATTTGAACTGGAAGAACCATGCATTTGTGGTAATGCTGCCGACAGTATGCCTAACAACCCACTGAATATGCGTCAATGGGCGCAGGAATTTTTATCTGGTACTCAACAGCTCTTAGTTTGGAACAACAGTAGCACTATACATGTGACTTATGAATAAATTTCTAATATATACACAAAGCTTAGTTGGATCAAGTCCTCATGATCACTCCAAGTATACACCAATGTTTTAAATTTCTTGCTACAGATGCTTGATTATAGGGATATCTTACGTATATTCTGCTTGTGATGAGCGATCTCGAGTTGGCTGAGGAAGCCCTTTAGTGATACCTTCAATAACAATGGTCACTGTGAGTTCCTGAGGAGTGGAGTTCTTCTAGATTGTAGGGTTAGATATAGTAGCATTGAAGAGTTCCCACTCAGTGTCCCGTATATTCGTTTCGTACTTCCTATGGAGCGTTTATTTTGGGAGCTCTGTCCCATAATATAGATAACGGAGGCTAAATGCAAAAAGTATTTGCTATGAAGCCACCTGCATTGGTTGAGATTTCCATAATGGAAGCGGTGTCCAACGAATGTTCTGCAGCTCGGATTCGATTGAAACGAAGACTTTATGCCTACCTTGAAAGAGTTACAACCGTAGTTCTACACATCAGTCTCTCTGGTAGCCAACAAACCAAAACATTGAGACCTTATCATGCAGCGAAACGTTATAAGCAATTGAACGTTGTACGCTTGCGTAAAGATGTCACTTGGCAGACGATTCAAAGTATTTGCAATGGTATGGAGCAGTGACATGCGAATATGCTTCTACTGAGCTTCACTTCATACAGAAAGGCGTGAATATAAGTACAAACGGGGTTATTAGCCTCATATGTTAGTTCCTCTTTACTCGGTGCAGCAATGATATTCCGCGACCCCGGAAACTGACGACAACTGTCTTCCAGGTAAAGAACCCCACAGAATGCCCTTCCCCTAGCGCAATATCCCAGTAACTGGAATACTCGAGGCTTCTTTCAAAACAAGTCAATGTACATTTCAGATTAGGTATCGTAATCCAAACTACACGAAGGGCACGAGAGTACCCAACATTAAATTCCCAATCACGGTACCAAGCCTTACTCATGGATATCCGTGCCGTCGCGAGTTCCACTCCCAGCTCAGCTAGCTCTGCCTCAAGGTCACAAACAGGGAGTGAAGAGGCAATAAAGTGTAGTGTTTGAGGCTAGCAACACCAAAAGCCCGTCACTTCGGATACGATCTAACTGGTCTGAATAACGGTGATGCGCGCATCACAGGGCTAGCGATGCCACAGTGCATGGTGGTGAAACATTTGCGACTGTTTAAACAAGCTCGACGAAGCAAACAAGATTTAGGCACGTTTCCGAAACGTAATTGCATTCAAAACTAAGGAAACTAGGTTGGTGGGTTTTAAGACCACAAGACACAATAGATTAGCCATTATTGTCTTATTAATATGGAGCGAATGAATTGCTTTCAGGAGATGTATTGTTGACGTCGTCTACTTTGAACTCAACTACGGCTACAGCCATTGATTGGAACTGTGTATGAAGGCCGTGCATTACGCACACAACGTGTACCTTTATTTTGTCCTTGCCCCCTGTATTGGGTTCGAGCCCCACTTCGAATTGTAGGGGGAAAGCGGACTGAGACTGAATAGCAGGCGGCTATTTTCGTTCCGGTTAGATCTGGCGACCGATCTTTGGCACTCTTGAATCTAAAGTTGCATCCAGATTGGAATCAAACTTGGAAGTACACACCTGTTGATAATGTTCGGCTAGTTATTTAGTTTCCATTCCTCTACTTAACGAGAAAAAGAGCTGAACACGAGCCGCAGCAGAACCATATACGCGTCCCCACGGTTGTACGTCCTAGATGCACCTGGAATAATACGTCGATTTATTTATGTCGCAATCCCGGCTGAAAGCAATCGACCGACTTGAGAATACGGATCGATTGACTTGGAAGCGCCTCGCTGGTTTGTCTGTACGCTTAGGCTCTAGTGACTAGTTCTTTTGTGAGTACAGTTCGGTTTGTGCCACGTTCGCTCTAGCTGAATTCTGTGGACGAAAATAGACAAATTGTGACGAATAAAACGGCCGTCTAGAAGTTGGACGTCGTAATGTGCTTCCCCCAAATAAGTTGTGCTGCGAATAAGTCACACTGATAGTGAGTTCTTTGTCATGGGTTTTCTCTGCTCTATGTTTATGCAACACATTCACCACATACTTACTCGATTAGGGTCAAGTTCTCGTAAGCATTGGGCACATTTTACGAAGTTGTTCCTTACGGATCTAGATGACGATGTCTTTTTACATCTGGTGCTTAGATTAAGATGTAAAAATTCATCCTTTTTTAGTAACTCATAGCTGTGAAACCGCATTCGATAAAGTATTCGCCGCGCTATCCGGTGATGGTAGGCTACCCCTATTAGGCAATTTCTAAGAAAGCTAAAGTTCGATCCTTGTCGTTTGCTTACATTTGTCCATCGCTCTCACTCACTTCCCTAACATCAACCCGCGGCGTTAAAGATTCTAGCATACGCGAACCAGCATCGATCGTGAAAGCAGCCGAACTCCGTGTGCATGTGCGTCATTCTCGAGACAAACCTGCCTACGAGAAACGAGGACAAGCGCGCCACTGTAACAATGAACTTGAAAGTGTTTCACCTCCTATCTCAAGCGAACGCAGGAGATGCAGCCGTTAATGAGCGTTATCCTACTTAGGGGTAAATGGGCAAATTCGAAATCAACCCGAGTGGTCTCTCAGGACTAGCCTGCTTTAATTGTGGCACCGCCTCCCGCACTAAGTGTAATGGTATAAGTCAAGCAGGATTAAAGTGGCTCAACAATGTAGCTGTTTCAAGTTAGTAGTGCGCCGTATGCAGGTCTTTTCCAATTGTCAATTTTATAGATGTGCTTATGAAGAGTTGATAAAAAGTAACTGAATCTATTGAGTGGAAGGTGAGGCTAAGTGCTTTACCACTGAAATTAAAGGAAACGATCTGGCTCTAAAGCAACGAAAACTGAGCTCTCTCCCCAAGTCAAAGAGTAACGTAAGTTTTGCTAAGCGCACCACGGTATCTGCTGTACCCACGCTGACCCATCGTAAGCCGTTAAACAGATGTTACATACCAATTAACTTTCAGTTCATTTAAGCAGGTTACATCTGACGGTTAGGTCACAACACGGACAGCTCAGATCCGGGGGCAATCCACTGTAGAGGAAAGTGGGTAAGGTACGCATCGGTTGCATCAAAAGCTAACCGGGTGCGACACACGCAGGTCAATCTTTTGTATTTAGCGCAATCGGTGAGAAGCTTCCTTTACCATAAAGTCCAGTACCGCCTTCTAAACCATCCAACTCACTAGCGACAACTCTCATGCCCTCATCCGCTAAAGCGAACCAGTGCATCGACTGTCATACGTACTCTTGCACTGAAGGGCAGAGTTTATAAAGCAGCTGTCCGTTCAACTCGACTATATGGTTGTGAAACTTGGCCCATCAGGTCGATAGACATAAAGAGGCTAGCTACCTTCGACCATCGCTGCCTTCGCAGTTTGGCTCATGTCTGGTGGAAGCACCACGTGAGCAATGAGCGTGTTCGGCGTCGCGTATTTGGTGCAGGAAGAGCGAGTGTACCGCTCAGCACCACTATATCATGCACCAGGCTCCGATGGCTGGAGCACGTGTTGCCCATGGCAGCAAACTAAATCCTGCGACGTGCGTTGTTTGCGCGCTCGGGGGTGCGTTTGGAAGAGGAGGAGAGGATGCCAAGCCATGAGTCGGTCGAGTGGAATGAAAACCTTTACTATGAAGTTGGCGTCAGTTGGTGCATCCCGACTGCCTGGCTAGGGACCTAGGGACAATAAAAATGTTTGGTTGGACACACTTGCTGATATCTAGGATCCGGCCATGGTGGCCTATGTGTTGTGCGTTCCTTTGCCCTTCCCCCTCCTGCTTAGCCTCTACCTCCAATCACGATCTCATTCGCTAGGCATGATTTAACTATTTTACGGCCCGATAGCTGGCTGTCAGTTCTCCGGAGCGATGTCTATCTTTTACTGGGGACTCAGCCGGCTTGACGCTGAGTATTTTTTCTGACTTAGTATTGGACAAAAGCTGAAGCGTTTACACATGTGTACTAGAACTATATGAGATGTCACATTTGTGTCCTGCAATGCCATGAGTCAGGTATTTTAAACGTTACAGGAGAACGATAACGATATTCACGGCTGACAGATTTTATAACGTTTTTCACCATATTTCGAGCGCTTTACATAATTCATTTTTAGTTGCCCTATACAACAGTATTCAGTAGTCTTGACACTACATAAGTACGTCAGTTTTGTGAGTGGGTGTTCGGTAAAGTACTTCCTCAATTACCCATGACTGTCAGGTGGTTAGGCGTGCATAACGCTCTCGGATGGAGCTTAAATTTTGTTTTTTTATGTTTGCATGCGGTCCACGTTGTGTACATCATGTGTCATGCTGAGCGGGCACAGTACCATTCTTCAAGCTATGGGGTCAAATAGAGAGTAGATTTCAGAACAACATGAATGTTTTAGAAAGTTGTAAATGGACCTAACAGAGCTTGATATCAGAAACACACCAACACTTTGGACTGATAGATTTCGTTCGTCCGCAGACGGTTGAAGGTGTGCTGACATGGTTCCGTATTCACAAGGCTCACAAATGAGAGGGGATCCGAACCCGTGGACAGTATTGCTCTTAGTCGAGGGATGCACTACAACAAGGTTTTTAATATAGGCATAACATTGTACCGAGTGTCGTGTGTTGAGCGTGAAAAATTAATATCTAGATTACACATTAACCATGATTCTTAAACGTTAACTAAGTACTGTTCGAACCCCACTTCATTAATTCATCGTTCTAACGCGTAGCAGCTAGCTGTTTCTAGCAGTTAACCTCCAACTTTTATCTTCTCTTAAGGTGAGGGACAAACAAGAAAATCGAAAATTTTGACCATTTTGGTTTCCATACATAATGCATAATTATTCATAGTAGAAAACAGCTGTGCAAACAGGATTTACAATCATGTGTTTTAAAGCTTAATTTCTACAGTTAATATGGCATGTGTAATAGTATCATTGAAGTTCTCAAGCTCCCTACGTAAGCAAAACTGTGCAACGTCGCATCTCGCCTCGTAATTGACTTAGAGACTTCATTCCAGTTGTATCTTGATCTATAATTGATCTATAAACCCAGTTCTCATTGTGCACATAGGAAAGAATAGATTTCCTTGGTCCATTTATAGAGGACATGTTTTGTTAGGCCAATCAGTGTACTCTTTTCATCGCACATCGTCTATCGCTATTCGGACGAAGGCATTTTATGAGTGTGACAAAGGATTCTCAAATTATGGGCAAAAGGAAGGTAAACCGAGGTATATTTCATGACAATCAGTATTCTAAAATGCAAGAACAAGTAGCTGGAACTGATGAAATTTTTGGTTTTGATGGAACAACGAATCATCTACTTCTGCTTCTAGAATCAAACTGGGACCTCAAACCTCGCAGGCTGATTTTGAGAAAACTGAGGAGCTCACATATATTCGATTTTCATACCTTCAGCTTCTCATTAACTTTGTAACCACTTTATTGTGCAGGCCGTGTAGACAACCTCTGGGAGAGAGCGAATCCTAGGTCACAGAACAGGAAAACTCGCTAACCTCAAAGTTAGCTTTCTACTGTAATTGTCAACATACCGTTTCTTTTATGTCCTCTGAAAAATGTGAGAAAACATATGATGTTCATAGAATATCAAGCAGCTCCCATGGCAAGAAATTGCCTGGCAATATGGACGTGCCAAGAAGTATGGATAGAAGCAGTTGGCCTCTTCATAAAAAGAAAATTCTTCAGGCTACGGAGACATTCGCACATACAAGTACGCAGAGAGTTGCATCTGAGATGAAGCAAGTAGAAGCCATATTAATCTCATGGCAAAGAGGGGGCATCAGAGCAAAATTGATGTAGTCAATATTCTAACTGTGGATGGACATAGAAGTTCTAAACACTGCAGTACAGAGTAAGTATTGAAACCCTTGTGCAAAACTTAAGATGAAATCTGAAGTCCACTTCCAGACTTGGGTGCTTTCCCATACTCAGACCTGTGATCATAATCACACTGGATCCGCAGGTAGGATGGAACCAGCTGCAGCACTGGAAATGTTCAGGCGGAGTGAAGAGTGGTATTGTCTGCGCCATGTTTCCTTTCTTGGAGATGAAGACAGTAAATCATTCACATCAGTTGCAAATGCGGTATCACCAGTGTATACTAATATTGATTTTTGAAAAAAACTGGAATGTTGTAGGCATGTGCAGAAGAGAATGGGGCGACACTTTATTAATAAGGTAAATAAGTTAAGAATAAAACTTGTACGCACAATAGCAAGCGTCTACGAGGTATTGGTGAGAGAGGGTAACTGACAAAATAGGTAATGCTAAAGTTTCCAGGACTTTGTGGTGCTACAATACGTATAAACACCAACAATGTTCCTCATATGTGAAAAGAAATCTGGGACATATGGGAGCCCAGGGACCGTTGCTATATCAACTGTGGAGATTGATACTCCGCCAGGAATCAGCCTGCTTCAGATCCTGATAAAAATGCCTTCCATTCCTATATCTGCGTGACCATAAAACCCGTCTTTGAAACACCCGCCCGTGAGACATTACTGTCAAAGTGTGTTCATGGCGAGACACAAAATACAAACGAGTTTTCATAATTCAATTTGTCAAAGATGTCCAAAGATTGGTTTTGTTGGAATGCGTAGACTAACTCTTGCAGTTTATGACGCTGCAGTAGTTTTCAATGTCGGAAAGTTGAGTAGGCTAACTATATTTGAGAGGCTGGGTATGCTTGCTGCATGCCATACCACACTGAGTTTTACTGAGCTGGACAGAATAAGAACAAACTCAGCGGCTAACTAAGTCTCATCAAGTGGACGACTAACAATGAAAACAGCGGCTGTCAAAGATAAGAAATATGGAGAGAATGTTTACCTTGCTGGTCCCAATGTGTAATCCAGCTTAGCCCTACTTTATGGGTCATATTTTTGGATATTACAGGAATTATATACTTAGCTTTTGCTAGCTATGGGAGACTGACACACATTTGAAGCATGTTAAAACTGTAAAGAGCATCTTCTCATAATGACGTTTCGCATCCATGCATTAGTATTGTCATAAAGATTGCAAAACTATTAGGCCAAATTAAAATTTTTTTAGAGCACATGAATGTCATTAGAATCTTCTTGAGACATGCGAAATTCAATGGTCCCACACTTGTGGCTTACCTTTAACTTGTTCAAATTTTATGCAACTTTTGGACATCAGTGTAAGAAAATTTAACATACACACGGATGCGAGTCTAGTGTAGATTAAAGCGTAGCCATATCTGCGCAGCTATGCAACGTTTTAGCTGCATACATAGAAAAGATTTTAGCAGGCGTGACAACGCTATCGTAATAACTACTCATTAACGAAATAAGTACCTTGATAAATTAGAAAGGAGTGTGAAATAAAAAATATAACTATTTCTCAGCTATTGTATGAAGATATCTAAGAAAGGTGTAAGATTTTATAAAGATCAGCTCTTATTTAGACATATTTAATCATTAGCAACTTACTCGTATCATTTGTGATTTTCCAGCTTGTTCCCTCCCCGTGTTTTCACAGAAATCCCCTGTCCGTACGATGGACTGTGCAACGATGACGATTACGGTACCCACAGTGACGGCGACATCACAGACGGAAGCTGAGAAGGAAGAATTCAGCACTACTGATACCAACACTCAGTGCGGAGTTTTATCTGAGTTACAACAACTGGTGATACATTTGGGGTATCCAATTAATAAAACCAGTTCGGTTTCGTCGATAAAGCCAATCATGATGAACAATGTACAAAACGAGCAAGATTTATCAAGTGACCTAGTGTTCAGGGTCTACCACGAAGGCGCAGAATATTCAAGTGACCCTTTGAAGAAGGTGAGTTAGTTTGCAAAAATATATACGATTTGTTCACTTTTGCTTATATAGTTAACTCACTCTTGTAAAACGGCACACTGCACTCATCTTTTTCGATCAAAGTGAATGTTATGTCTCGTTAACCGTTAAATAGAAGCTCGGGTAATATAGAGCTACCAGCAACATTAAATATAATCTGGGTCTTCCTGCATCTCGTTACTGCGGAAATCTGAAAAAATGCTACTAATGATCAGTTTAATTTTCTACATGCATACTAGACCAAGAGTTATCGAGAGGTTTCTCCGGTGATCATTAATGGGCACAAAAGTATAAGCCGAATTCGTGCTCTTTTGATCCACTTCGCACAAATCTGCAACTTTCAGCGAAGTTCTTTCGATAGCTGATGTCTGGCAAGACGCGCTACCCTAATTGCGATTGTCGCAAGTGTATGCGAACTAAAACTATGTGGCAAAAAGCAGTTAGTTGCTTACGTAATCAATAGGTCGGAAATATCTCAGGGTATTACCAAGAGGAAGATAGATTTATAAAGAGGAGCAACAACTAGTTTGTTCATAACACACTTGTGGGCATTGCAAGTAAATAACTTGGGGACATCACTGTCCGATTTGTGTCCCAATCCGCTACAGCTGTTGGGACTTGCACATAAATACTAGTTCCTTTCACCGCTCAGAACAAAAGGGTCCCAAGTAAACCTCGCATATTTAGATTCTGTCTGTGGTATTAGGGCGCATTCAGTTAGTGGACGGATTCTGCATTTATCATTGGAAGATGATGTGCCGAAAATGTTAGCATTCCTCAAAACAGAGTAGTGGGTATATTCATATGATGTGCTTCGTATGCATCATGAATACACTCGGTTGGACGGCAATCAATATCTGGACTGGCCCTGGAAGCTGTCTGGTTCTTCCGGGAGTCATTAAGATCGTTCACTCTCCCGCCCTATTGAAATCGTAGAGGCCGTGACCAAATTTTTTCTAAGCCAGAAATTCCCACCCTAGCTAGCAGAAAATACCCACGGCTGACGTGGTTAAGACCCTAGACGTGATGTGGCGCAGCTCAGTCTCCCTTGACTTGTAGTTGACTGCCATGTTCCCGTCTAATCAGTGCTCTGACCGAACTATTTACAATGCCATAGATCAATCGGATGTATAATTCTGGGAATGGAAGAATCACATCAATGCAAGGTACAATGAAGAATTGGTCATGTCCCAGTAATACTAGGAAGTCTCGAAACCATTAACGACTGAGTATGTTTTTGCAATTTAACATTGTTTTCAGTGTTTCATCCTCAAGCTAAATGCAACAAAAATACACAGCTATTAATAACCAAGATGTAGTGGTTAGCATCTGACGAATGATATTGTATGGTATTTTTGGACGTCGGATTTGACGCAGATTGCCATATTGGAACCAAACTCTTTACCAATCTGATCATTACAGATCTTAAAAGATGATTAGTTGTTTTACGTAATGACGTAGCAGTCTGTGTTGAGGTTTTAATATGGACGTAGTTGAACCGGTACCCACAGCCACTTAATTAGTGAAATTTGTGCGTCAGAACACGCAAGTGCTGCTGAATCTGAGGGAACCAAGGAATTGAGCATCGAAGCGGAGAGACTAACCCAGCAATAAGATGCAAATCAAACTTAAAACCATGGTGGATAGTTGAAAATATGGTTGATTAAATACGAAGTCGAAGTTCATATTGTTTGTATGTTCGCGAGGCAAGCGGTAAGACCATTGTTCAGTTAGATACTATAACCATAATTTTCATAGTTTATTATGAACAATTCCAATTTTCTCCTATTCACTTGTAGTCTGTCGCGCACTTAGCTCGGAGTACGTCTTTTGCTTGCTTTCGGTGTGCGCCCACAAGGTTCGACCAAACAGTTCCGGGATGCTGCATGACTTCAGATGTTCCAGACACTTGGCATCATTTGGTCTAGATCGGGGGTGTCCAAACAGTTTGCAAGGAGGACCACCATTTGTGAGGTTAAAATATGTCGGGCCAAATCAGTCAGATATTAAGAGAATAACACAAGTGCATACGTACAGAAAACGTCCAAGTCTAAATGTATTATTTATGATGAGGTCGCTGGCCTGTTGAACTGTTTACGCGGGCCGGACTTTGGACACCCCTGGTCTATATTGACTCCAATGCTAAGTGTTTCCCTCTGAGTTATCCTGATGTGGCGTTCATGATGCTGCTTGTCACTGCAACCGTGAATCACGAGCAGTATGTGGTGATGGATGCGTTATGAGGCTCACTAATTAGTGACGGAGGATTCATCTCAGCCATGTTCATGATGTCTACAGTTGTTTGGGTATGGTCCTTCCTATGGCTGAACCCGAAGTTGCATTACTGTGCAAATGTTAAAATACATGGTCTGTGTATTCTAGTTCACAAGAATAAGTGAGTCAATAAACACCTAGAAGAACTGCGTTTAAAATTCAGATGTCCGGAACTGCTCCGCAGTGTTGACAGAACATTGACTGTTTCGTCCAGCTTCATTAATGTGACTCCTGTTCCATGTAAACCTACAAGCTCTGTTCTTTCCGATTCTGCTGATTGAGGTCTAGGACAATTCTGAATAATTGTACTTCGCTATTACAGCAGTCTGAAGGGCACCTAAAGGAAACTCGATTCCAGCCGACTTCGGCGCTTATACAAGCCCATCCAACATCCAACACGCTCGATCTTGAGAAACAAATGCGGTGAGTGTGCAGTTTGTGACTAATAATAATACCGTCAGGTCGTTTCCTTTATTTGAGCAATACGACTGAAATCGGCCTTTATCTGATAGACAGAGTCCTCCTTAGCAAAATCCAAGCATGGTCAATATTACACAAGCCATTCTCCGATGAAGGCGCGAATGATTTTTGTGTGAGGTCACATTTTAACGCCAACACTAGTGCTGGTAGTTGATAAGTCGCGGTTTGCTTTGAACTGACCTGCGCACCTCTGTTGTGCGAAAACGAGTCACGGTGCCCCGAAGCTGTGGGTTAAGACGGGGCAGCATGGAAGTTCAAACGGTTCAGATGGGGTATGTAAAAGCTATTTTCAGTCATACAGTCATCAAGACCCGGAAGAGTAGGGGCAGCAGTCTGCCGTGTTATTGAAGTCTAGCCGCTGCCGTGCCTGATCAAATTTACTTAGTTATTATATTCTTTTAGTTATCCACCAAATATATATATTATCAGACCAATAGCAACCGCTCTCATCGGTGCTGGTTGTTGCAGAACTCAGTACATCAGGGACAAGCTCTTATTCAGCAAAGTTATGTCGGCGAATGTTACAGCATGCTTGGCAATCCAACGTCCGCTATATGAGTTGCACTTTCGAGTCCATAACTAACAACACTTATGAGTCGATGAGGTTCCTCTTTTGCTTCAGCTAAACAAACAGGGAAACGTACAGGAATTTAGGCCAATCCAAGTCCAGTAATCGAATCCGTTACACCCGACTCCCATTGACTGTCTGGCTTGCTCAGTGGGACCACCCGCTCATCTTGATATGACACTGTTATCACGTCCTCCCACTTGTCGTTTCCTTGCGCCTCCATATTGTTATGCACCCTGTACAGCATGCCACACCGCAACGTCTTCGCTGTACCTGCGGCCGTGTTATTCTTGCACCGTATTATATGGCGCTCCACTCCCACTGCACATTGTTGCCTCGGTTGTCGTCTCAAATGTACACAGAACCTTTCCCTCCGAAACTTATTTTGCATGACCTTTTAACGACCATCGAAGTCAACATACCCTTCTTACACCGCACTTGACCCTCAGATGCTAGTTACACCCACAATTCCTCCCTCGTGGTCGGCTCAATCAGTATTCGTCCACTGCGGTCCCAGTATTGTTTTTGGGTGGATATTCGTCGTCTCATTTTTTTCTGTAATCGCTAATACGTTGGCGAAACTGGGCTCAGAAGTGTGGCAGACGCTGGCATCAGCGTTTTAGTTCCACGAAGGTATAAGCGCTGCACTGGGTTCAAGCCGATATCCGTTGAAGTTGTGCTGCGAATCTCTGGAAGCATAAGGTAGGGGTCTTCCCCAGTAGCTCTGGCCTTTAATAGGTGTCGTATGGCCTGTCCCACTGCCAACTCCTCCTTTTCATTCGATTGGCTATGATATGAGATGCTTTGCTTGTGCACGATTTATCACTTACTTGTGAAGGTAGGGAAAGCGGTGCTGGTACACTGAAGACTCTTTTCGGCGGCCAACTCCTCCGGTATTCCGTGCCGCGCGAATTAGCATTTGAGCTTATTGATTACTGCCTCCATTACCGTTGTGATGAGTAAATCAATTCAAAATAAACACTATAGCAACACATGGTGAGTAAGCAATGTCTTCCCTTAAAATGTTTCGGAATACTGGTAGCTCGGTTCGATGATTCAATTATTCATTTGTTCACCAAGCTTGGATGTTTGTCGCAAAAGTTTCAACACCATGCAAGGTGGCATCCTCAGTGCAGTGAGATGCTGTGTGTACTCTTACACACCGCAGTTCACTGCACTAAGGATGCCACCTCGCATGGTGTTGAAACAGCTGCGACAAAATCGCCAAGCCCGGTGAACAAATGAACAATTGAATCTCTTCCCTTGTCCCAGAATAAATTCTGCGCCAACTTCTGCCACGGTCAACCAGGTATATCATGCAGCAGCATTGGTTCCTTTGTCTGCCGGATTGCGTGTGAATGGCACGCCTTACAATTCGACACATGATCTCCGACTTGACCCGTCATTCCTGGCCATAAGAGCAATTCTTTTGCTCGGTTAATGAGGTAATTGGTACCTAAACGAGCGCAGGAAGTATTTCAAGATTTATCCTCGGAGCGATGATGGAATAATAATAATGCTTGGCTTGAGCAGCCAACCAACATAGACGGACAGTTCATACCGAAAATAGAAGTAGAATGCTAATTCCTTCGACAGGTGCTTGTGCTTTTCCGTCCAAACATTCATAGTAACTTCTCGCAATGTTGAAAACGTTGAATATGCATCTGTGTGGCGCCTTACTTCATTCAGACGGTCTTCCGCCACTACCCCATGCTGTACTAGGTTTACTGCATCATCCTATTCTGGATTATGCACAGGTGCCGGTTGATGAGCACTTGACAGCGTATCCGCGATGAACATCCTTGCAACATGGGTGTACACAGTATCCACACCGTACTTTTGAAGCCGGATGAACATACGCTGAAGAGGACGAGAAACGTTGTGCAGTGGTTTACTGGATATCGACGCAAGCCGTTTGTACTCGGTATGCACAAATATCCTTCTTCCGAAAGTATAATGGTTGAAAGGCTCCATGGCACAGACTATCGGGAACGCTGCCTTCTCAATCAGCGCATAGCGCCGCTCTGTCACGATGAGTACTCGACTGCGGAAATTCAAAAGGTTTTCCATTCTGTGAGAAAACAACACCTATTCCGTCTTAGCTAGTGTTAAAATGTACCTCCAGATGCTGCGCTGAATCGTAGTACCCGAGTGCAGGAGCGTTGCCGATAAGGCACTTAATAGTTGCGAGTGCAGTTTCTTGTTAAGTTCCCCAAGCCCGTAACTTTCCCAAATCAAGCTATGGACGATGTCATTATCCCTTCAATAGACGCATAACGTCGACCTCACGTCTGTCGGGATCCTCCAACCACTGGCTCCTTTTGCCCCTGTGGGCACGTAGAGAACGAGAAATTGTCCGCCATAAACCAATGTTGAAGGCCTTTTAGATAAGTTGGCCGAATTAAAAGATGGCCAAGATGCTAAACCATGCAATATCATCGGTGTCACAGAAACATGAGTAAACACTGAAATGACGGACGCTGAAGTTTCGCTGCCTGGCATTTTACTCGTCAGCATAAATAAGATAACAAAGGGAGGAGAGAGTAACTCCTTATTACCGAAGCAACCACAAGTGTGAGACCGTAGGGCATTGAGAATTGCAGTTCTTTGATTCGTTCTGGCGCCGTTTGCAACCAAAATTTAGAGAAACTTGCCTTATAGGTTTGGTGTACCGCCTCCTAATTCTATACCAGAAACGGACAGTCGCCTTGCGACTGTTCTACGATACATCCTAAAGGGAAGATATACTCACATCGTTATCATAGGGGATTTCAAAGTATATTATTTAGGAACTCCTGCCACTACCAAAGAAGCATTCAAAGCGCATGTGCTGCAGCTGGTAAGCACAGCTCCGTTTCACAATCACGTCACTTTGCTTACTCGCTTCAGAACAGGTGACCGGCCATAGGTGTTAGATATTGTGCCTACCAACGGGTAGCGTAGGATTAATGTGCTAGATGTAGACTACCAGCTTGGTCGTAGTGACCATAAAATCATTAGTTTCAACTTCGTTTCCTATGTGAAATTTCGGAATGAGAATTATGAGACTATGCGAACCATCACAACCTACGATCGATTAGCATAGATCGTCCGCACACGCATCCAGCATTCTGGTTAACGTGGGAGTGAGCCCTCTTCAGCAGTACTTCAGTGTAATTCAATGTTCTGAATGTAAACTGATTCATACAGAGACGGATTAGCAATTCGCTTTGACACTATCAGTCGTTTCACGTTCAGTCTAACTAACTTGCCACCAATGTGTAGGACGGTTCCATGTTGTTCGGCTAAACATTGTGACACGAATTCAGTATGCTTGAGATTTCAAAACCGGTGAGCCGAGGTTATCTTGCCCTAAGGTAGGAGTATATCAAGCTATAATATTATAGAGTGTAAAACTAACGGGATAATCACTGGTCACTTGGTAGTCTGGTGTGCACACGAGTCACCTAGAAAGGGATTGTTAACGAGACTACCACAATTGATGTCTCTAAATTTACTAAAACTTATATTTGCTTGACTTCCATACTGCAACTAGAAATCCACTCTGAATCCACGGGATACCACAAATGCATTCAAGTCTGCTTGATTCCCAAAGCACCCGAGTGTGTTTTAAACAAAAACTAATAAAAGCTCATACACTTTATCACATGTAGTGCTTTGCTAATGCATGGCGACGTGACAAAGTCAATGCAGTGTAGTTTATGTGAAAGCTTTTGGTGAATTTCCATATAAGCCACGCATCCAACAGTAACGTATGTAACAACAGAAGGTGGGCTAGGGTTTACGCACACCATTTTCCATGCCTCAACGGTAAGTATCTCTACTTCAGGTAGCATACTACTTGCTTTGATTTACGAACGGATATTTCTATGGTGATGAGTTCCAGCTTTAGCTCCAGTGAGGTGAGATGGCTGTCCGGAGCTTTGGCAACCTTGAGATGAACAATGAACAATGATATATTAAAGGTAAACAAGCGATTGCCTTACAAGTCCCGTAGGATGCTTGAAGTGAAAGTAAACATAAGTGTAAGTCGTCAGTTTAAGCGTCTAGTGAATTCATGTGCCCCTTATTCATAGAAAGGTTGTAGAATGTGTACTGAATTGTTACTGTAGAGTAATATGGGAAGTAATATGGAGAAGACGTGTCCTAAGAATAACAGAAACGACAACGCTTACTCGTGCGCCGCTTTCTTGTACTGAGGTAAATTGATGAACGCAGTTGTAATAAATCCGAAACTATATTCCACAACAGCAGTGTGTAAATAGTTAAGCACAAAAGCTGAGAAAGAGCAACGTATTTTTCGCCTTTGTTTGACGTGGACATCTCTGATTATATAGCGTAATGTAGGTGGATAAGCGAATCATCCAGATGTCTTTGAATACCGTTAGCGTGGGTGAACAAACAACGTATGTGGGAAGAGCGTTCCAGTGTTCGCATACACGAAGAGAAAAGCAATTCCGGCGGCATTCCAACCGACTGTATTGCGTGGCCAGCTTCAGCTGGTGTCCTCTGAGTGTAGTCTTGCTATGCAGCTTTAATAGGTGACGACAAGAACAGTTTGGATTTCTCAGGATCATATAAGCCATTATCAAGTCGCCACGCAGGCTTCGATATTGTCCACTGTAGACCCCGACGGTTTTCAGCCTCAATCGGTAAGGGAGATGCAACAGGCCCTTTACGTTCTTGGTCGCCCTTCGTTGTGGCAGTTCAAGAGCGGTAAGGTCTTGTTTTTGCCATGCCTGCCAGGCGTGGATGGCCTACTCATAATAAGGCCAAATGTAGGCGTTGAGCATCTGAGAAAAGGTGGAAGGATCGAAGAGCCCGAATGCCCTCCGCAAAAGTCCAAGGTTTTGGTTAGCTTTTGTGGAGGCTTTCTCGGCCTAACGGGAACAGCCAAGATCTTCCTGCACTATCACTCCTAGATCGCATTCCGTTGTGGTGCGCTGCAATATTTGATCCCCCAGTCTGTATTCGCAAGTGGCTTTATGGCGTATGCTCAGCATCTTGCACTTTGCAGCATTGAAGTGAAGCCGGTTCTGAGTTGACCATTCGTAGACCCTGTCAAGATCATCCTGAAGTGCTGCATTGTCGCTGGTTGTTCTAATGGCTCGCCATATCTTGAACTCGTCAACGAACAGTAATGAGTTGGGGGTGATTACTGTCGCGAGGTCGTTTGTGTAAATCAGGAATAGTCGTGGACCAAGTACTGAACCCTGGGGCACTCCGCACTTAACGTCGATTTGGTCAGAGATGACGCCGCGAACTCTTACATTCAGATGTCGTTGAATTAAGAATTTTCCTATCCAACCGATGATTAGGTCACCATTTCCACAACACTGCAGCTTGTGAAGGAGGATACGGTGGTTCAGACGTTCAAAAGCCTTTGAGAAGTCCAGGTATACTGCGTCAACACCTACGCCGCTGTCAACGGTCTCAGTCCAACTGGATCTGGCAAGCAGCAACTTTGAAGTGCAAGATCGGTTTTTGCCAAATCCATGTTGTTCTTGTGCTATGATGTTGCGTTCTTCTAAGAAGTTCATCAGCGCTTCGGCAACAATCGCTTCCATGATTTTGGAGAGCACCGGAAGTAGTGTTATCGGGCTATAGTGGGCGGGATCTGTACGACTTCCTCCCTTATGGATGGGATGACGGTGCCTTGATTCCACATTGTTGGCACGCGTATCTCATCGAGGCATCATTGGAAGAACTTGCAGAGTGGGTCCGCCAGGTTTACTGCAGCCAATTTCAAGGCTTTTGGACGAATATTACCAACACCGGGAGCGGTATGCTTGCGCAGGGCAATTAGCCTTTTCATAACATCCGCACTCGTAAACACAATGTGGCTAAGTCCTGGTGGTGGTACAACCATCGGGAACAGCGTATGCGGCGATGTCGTGCTCTGGAAGTTCGGGGTGAATTGTTGACATAGGGCGCTGGCCGCCTCGGTTGCATTTTGTGCAAGTCCAATGTGTGTAAAGCAGGAATTCCTCGCTGCAATTTGCAGAGCATATTAACGTGTCTGTACGGGAGCTTGGGGTTTGAAAGGAATTTCTCAGCTAGATTCTGTTGGTGCTGTATTTTATCTTCGCGTACCAGGTTTACCCAGTGATTCCTTTGCATGGTGTAGGCTTCCCATGTTTCGGCACTGGATGACTCCTTGTATGTTCGCCAGAGTAAATTCCTCGTGACGATACACTTGCGTGTCCTGCTGCGTATGAATGATTTTACAGTCTTCGCTCGAGAGGGTCTTTTCCTAGAAGCACTAGTTACTAACAAGTTGAATTTGTGAGCAAATTCCGACCAGGCGACATCGGGGATCCTTCTGCTAGAAATGCCCAGTTTGTAGCATTTATAAGTTTGATTAGAGCGCCGTAATCCTTAATAAGCTGACAGTCCTCGGTGTTTTCTGAGGAATATTCTGCATAACAGATCTACTTGAACATGAGGGTTGCATGGTCGCTACGGCCTTAAGGACTCTCTATCGATACTTTTTCGACCATAAGCTCTTCATTAGTGAATACAAGATCCAGGATACCCGGTTTGTTTCCCAACCTGATTCTTGTGGGAGATGTGATGTGATTGTAGATTGGTAGCCCACTAATTGTCTCCTGTACTTCCATTTTGAAGTGTTCGTTGATACAGGCTGGGGTTTTCTATAGTATGAATATTGAAGTCGCCAACCAGGAGAATGTGGCTGTACGACTGCGAGAGAATGGTCTTCATTGTGGAGGCTAGGCTGTTGTCCATTTTCGAAGTAGTCATCGGAGGACGACACACCACACCCAACAAACATGCGTCCCCATGGCTTAGGTGAAGACGACACCAAAGCGCATCGATAATCTGAACCTCTGGGTCATTGATGAGATCAATGTGTAGTTCGCTGCGATAACAAAGTACAACTCCACCTCCTCTACTTGGTCGATCGTAGAGTAGACATCCCAGGTAGTGCGATTGCTGCATCAGTGATCGCTTCATTCAACCAGGTCTCGGCTATCATTAGGAGGTCGCTTGACATCGAGGCCTGACGTAGGCGAAGCTCCGTCAGTTTGCTTAAAAGACCTTGTGCGTTGGTATAAAAACAGGAGAGTGAATCATAGGTTAGATGGTTATTTGTGGATATAGACAACAGGTTTGAGACTTGGCTGATCCTCCTGAGGTCGGCTGATACTAGCTTTTTTGGAATTGTCTTAGGCTGGCGACAATGATTTGGGATAACTCTCTGCACCGTGTGATCAGGTTCATGATGATTTGCTATCGGATGTCTTACTGCATGTTTGGGACAGTGCGCACTGATAGTGTTGCGAGACACTCCAACGATATTTCCCTGGACCTTGATGACAATGAAAGCTTACCAATTGGTCACTGGTCAACGGTATCTTGCGGATAAAAATTAGGAAGTTTTACTTGTCTCGCCTGACAGTGTGTTAGAGGTTCCATAAAGTGGAAAGAAAACAATAGTAAATAGCAAGAACGTTGACGGTGAACTCACCGATAGACGCGTTGTCCACTTGAATCGCTTACGCATTATCTGATGCAAGTAGGAAGACTGTCCTTGAGTTTCCCATAAATATGGGGGTGGGTTTATTCGTGTTGGTTTTCTGGTGTTCGTATGGTTTTTGCGCTTCATGTACTGTGATGCAATGCCCCCACCGCACTGTCTAAAAGTCAGCAAAAATGTTTAATTTTTAATACAGATAAAACGGATTCTACCAGGAAATGCTCGGTGTAGCGAGAAGAAATATGTACCCCACTCCAAAGTGCCCCATTGTTTTACCAGCTCGAGACGGTGGCCTGTCAATATAACATTATGACTAACTATAACCAGTAAAAGCAGGCGACGTTTGGGCCTCTATGAAGATAGTAAAGCGTAGCAATCTCACCGCTCAAATACCGATATCCTCTTCTGAAAACTCCTAGAACTGGCCGTCCTTGTTCGTAAGTTAGATAGAAAAGCCCACTCCAATGCAGAGATCAGGGTGTAGAACTATACATACTTCTGTTCAACTGTGTTAAATCGGGAGTCGAATTTGGATGAAACCTTAAGAATACCTCATCCTGTATTGCACCTTTCCTTGAAGGTACGTGGAGCTTTGTCTGCCGTTTGACAACACTCAGTTAAAACAAGAAGTGCGCATTGAGATTTGGGACAACGAAAGAAACACGCAGCTTGGTGTTACTTGCGTGAATATGGAGGCATTGATGGTAAGTTCAAGTCGCAGTTATCGAGCATTTAACGGAAACCGTTTTCTGAGGAGTTGTGTGAAATGTTTTGGTGAGAGATGGAATGCTATGCCAGTTCATCCTAGTTTGAAATTGATGTCTGATTCGTGCTTTGGTGCGTGGGACTCGTCCTGCATAAATATGTTTCGTACGGTACGTTCAGACGAGGTGCTTCATGATACTATTTGACACAGGATAGGTCCCTTAATTAAACAGGACACTGAATAGTTTTTCATGTATCTAGGATTCTTCGGTGTGAATGACCCTGATAGCATGTCGCTGAATGGGGTGGATCGACTAAATTAAGCGGAAGTATCCTGTGGAAATCTCAAAGAGTTGGGTTACATGTGTTAATGCCTGTGTGCAATGCAGTCGGTGTTTCAATGCTGACCTTCAGTAGTGTGTCGGAGAGACCTGGATACTCACCATTTCGCAGGTGAATTGGCCACCCACAGCGCGGTGGACGAGAAAAACCCATATATCATTTTTCTTGGTACCTATGAGTTTAGGTCACTGAGGAGACGCCAGACAGGGACCATGCAATGCCTAAGCCATTGCCAGTGGTCGAATAGAGTGCTACCAGTTGTTGTGAAGTTCTCCGACTTGGGCAACTTGACTGCAAACTTTTCGTCACTATTCGAGGTGGCAGCTTCAGTGCAGGATTTATAGCAGTCAGGTAGCAGTAGCTGGTAGAAGTGACACTAGCATCGGATGTGAACCAGGTACGAAAGGTTAGTAGGGATTTACCAGTCCTTTGATAGTCATCCGTAGCCAACCATAACGAATAAATACGAAAGACTCTGATTTCCACCCCAGCCCAGGTTGTCACAACCTGATGAGTCCAAAGCAGGACGAAATCGCCGCAGGGATAACACCAAATATTTCTAAAATCAAAAGTCGCTTAGCTATTTACACTACTATTTAAGAACCAGCAGTCAATTAGCTAACAGTATTCAGTGCAAATAGTCTGTTGCGATTTTCATGCCCCATTTGACTTGTTATTAAGTTAATTGATTTGGAGGAAGACTGGTGCCGCACGTTCGACAAGTAAGGCTATTCGATTTGGAAAACCTACATCCAAGTAAAGACGACCAGAAACCGCTGTCGCGTCTTAGCGGAAGTACTTCAAATCCTCGATGGAGTCTGCCGCGAAGCCCCATCCACTGTGACAACCTGCGGCAGTCTGATCAATCCCCTCAGAGAATTTTTCCACGTCTCTGTCACACATGGAGGTGTTCGCATCGTGATTTCACCAAACCAAGCCAAGTGCTAGTGGGCAGTACGTGTCAAGGAAGACAGACAGCGGGTATAAGAAGGAAGAGACCTAGCTAGTTTGAGTACGTACGAGGTCAACAGATGCTGGGGCGAGTAGATAGTTCTTTACCACGAACCAATTATCGACTGTTAATGGTGACTACTTCGCGCGTCCACCAAATGTGGTAAGCTGACAGTATGACTTTGCGAAATCAAATTTGTCCATAAATCCATATATTAGCCGACCCTGAAAATACCTACGGGTAAGTCTTTTCTGTCATGTTTTCCCCATGTCAGTGTGCTTGATGGTGTTTTACTCCGTGTATATCCCCGTGGTTTCCTGTTAGTATCATTAGTCGCGAAGGTTAGATTTTCGACACAATAATGAGGCACGCTGCCCGCAGTGGACACCGTATGGAAAATTGGCACACCCCAAATCCCCGCCATTAGCGGTTGGTGCTAAGGTCAGATGGGTCAGACGTGTATATCGAGTACCTGGGTGGGTGCTGGGTGGCTTATACACGATTTTTTTCTAGTTGCGCCTGGCATTTTTATAAGCCGACCTCCCTCTATAGAAAGGAAAAAATGCCCAAACATCTTCGGTTTCTATACTTTAATATACCGTAATATCAAAACGATCGACTCTGTCTGGGTCTTTGATAAAGAGTGGCAATTGTGTTGGCCCAAACACTTACGCTGGCCGCTTAGAAGAGCTGTGCATTCTTCTCTTGCTCGATCGTTTGATGTCCCACCGCCTTCCTAGATGGTTGTGACGCTGAAGTCAAATGGGCCTTGCTGATAGGTACAGTAATGTCATTTGTTAGTTGAACACTAGAAACAATACTTTCTTGATCCTCCGCGCAACGGTAACGAATGCTTACCAGCACGCCATACCTAGGTATTCGTATGAGTCGCCCGCTCGATTCTCAATGCTCAACCCTAGATCTTAGGAGATCATCGAGATCCCATGCGTGTGAAGAGATCCTGATTTACACTAGGGCGTACATAGTGAAGGATAGTTTACAGTGTTCACACTGAATAGTTTTGCACGTATATCAAGGCATTGTAAGTACTGTTGTTGGACACTTATTGCCTGGATAATTTGCATTATGTTGGTAGAAATCCATGGTCAAGCAGACGGGATCGGAAAGCATGGGTGACCATAACATCCACAGTTACATGCATATACTCGCGGCTGGTCTTCTTGCGATGTGTAATGGTGCGCATTTTGCGATTGTTTATCGGCTTTATCTAAACTTATCAACCACATCCAATAAACTTCCCAAAAAAGTTCAGTAACTATTAGGACTTGCCGACCTCCATGTGAACCAAGCCTTTTGAATCACTTGTGGACATTTGGTACTTATCGCAGATTCATTGCTAACCAACTTACTTCATATTTTAATTTAGCGAAGACTTATGTCAGTTTAGCCGGATGCTTCAAAAGATATCTTTATTTTATTTGATAAGGTCATTTCAAGTGATTGGCTGTTATTTGACATCCCCGGTGTGGCTGCGCTTGATGTGCATGTTGACAAGATAACTACCTGTCTATTACCCACTATCTCGTGCATACTGGCTCCAGGAGACAGCTCGTGGTTGTTAGAGGGGACGGGATGCAAGCTGCTTGTAGCTGTGCTGGGCTCGAAATGTGGTTTTATGCACTCAGTGTAGAGCGGACTACGGCCCATCACCGCCTTGTATGCGATTGCATCCCCAAATACAGCGCGCTTGTGTTTGCCTATGAAGGAGTGTGGACAGGCTGTGTTGAAGAAACGTGGCTCCCATCCACATACTTCCCGGTCTTATTCCTTCTGGTTTACACTGGATATGGGGTGTGTGTATGGAGCTGTGGTTGGCGCAGCGCAAGCCACTCATGGTCCCTCTGTAGGCGCAGGCATCCTGTGGCTGGTCACAGTGAGAGGCAAATCCGAAACCGGATTCTGCCAACGATGTGATTCTGTTTAGTGAGTATACCCCACACATCTCAAAGCACAGAGTTAAATTAGTTACCTAAATTTTAAGAATTTGATCAGTTGGGATCGTTAACATAAGGTCTAAAAGAGTGTTAGTCAGCAGGGGTCCAGTTAACATCGGCAAAGCAATTACGTCGTCATGCACATTACAAAACGTGAAACCCGATTCTGTAGTTCATGAAATGGCCTGTTTTTAGTGACACATTTACATTGTGTGGATATTTACGTGCATTCGATTCGCAGCTGCCGTTCTTAAGCTACTGCAAGTAAAGGCTGGGTCATGACATACTGGCTTGAAATGAGTTACTCATATTTCGCTAAGAGCAGAGATTTCAAGTAAAATATTGGACGCATGCTGTTATGTGAAACTTGACTTTCTAAAATGGTTAATTTTTGCATAAAACGGAAGCCTACGGGGTTGACGACCTGCACCCTTATGAGTTGACACTGGTGTGCTATTTCATGAAATACATATATCTTCAAAACTATATTAAGTACAACACAATTGACTCAGTGCCACAACACACTGGGGAAAAATACAGATGGCATTGGAACACGAGAGTTAGAGAAGAAAAGTATCACAGCAAATGAGTCATTGCGCCATTTTCTGGGCCATATCAGCTGACGTTTTAAACCAGATGTGCTCACGTTCCTTTGGTCACCAACCCGGGAGTCGAGAAGGTCCAACAACAGCAATCCACGTCGTTTGCGCCTTAACGCATTGTACCTAAGTTTCACACTGACCTCCTTGTCGACGCATCTATCCCACGCCTGTGCGTCTAAACAGGGAACTTCGTTGGAACATGGTTGCTATGCGTAGCACATACCCAAGTCAGTTCGATGATGCTGTCCATCTGTAGGCAGATTTTGTTAGACTTAAAGACTCACCGACGGACTTTCTTATTACTGATGTGATGCTGCTATCGAATACCAGCAATGTCTTGCATGCAGCGGTAATCGAAGGATTCCAACTGCCGTACATCACTTTTGCGAAAGGGGCAAGTTTCACAGCCGTACAGCAGGATTACTCGTACTTCAGCATCTTGGACTGTTCCTCTGAAGGCCATGCTGGGGTCACAACGAAATTACAGGTGACGGATGTCAGCCAAACCTACTCTAGCCATGAAGATACTCAAGGAGATTTAATCCGTCAGGCGGCCAATACTAAGACAACTTCCAAAGTAACTGAATTTGTCGTCCACTTTCAGCGGATGCACCGGTAGGTTGAGAGAAGGAGATGCAATTACCAAGTCATGTACCAGGACTTGACACTTTTAAAGAGCAACGATAAACTCGAAATCGGACAAATGTGTTAAATTGTGTTGTTACTGTATCTATTTGAGGACCATTCTTTAGCATACATTAGTTGCTCTTGTTTGAATTATGCATATTTACCGTACTGTAGGTAGCCAGGATGATTGCTTAGAGTACCTACGGTACTTGGTTAGTCATAGGGAAAAGTAAGTCAATAACAGGTAAACGAAAACTGCAGTGAAGCTGCTAGCACGGTGTCACTCCAAATCCATACGTCCTCAGTTGCTTGTATCCGTAATGTTTGCTCGAAATACCCTCTTTTGTTGTAGAATTGTTACAAAATACGATTAGGTTCTAAGTTCACTATTCTCTCAAACATTCTGTCACATAATTAGTGAACACCACACTTTCACAATCTTTCTGTTGACTCTTTCCTGTTGCAGGCATATCACAAGAACATGTTCCCAATCAACATCGATGGAACTCTGCCCAGTGCTTCATCGTGGGTTCTTCCGATAATTACCACGTTGCGGCCAGGGAAAAAGAGCCATATCGCTGTTTCCACTTGTCTGTCCGCCGCAGTTCTGATAGGTTAGTGGTCTGATGGACTTTCATTCTCAGACAATCGCTTAAGAAAATGTTATTTTGGATTTGGGGTTGACTTTGTTCTCCAGTATACTATTTGCATTTGACACGACAGCACAAGAACAGTTCCTGATTTGAACACTTGACAGAAGTATGCTAGACCAATGTCATTCGCACTCAATTCACTGGGTAGGCACTAGTAACAGATTGTAACTACGCTGCTACTTGACAGGGTGGTTAATTGGTTTAAACCATCAGGACTCAGTTGACTGTTTAACATTTGGGTATGTCTGGATTTGGTACCTAATATTTCGAGTTGCTGTGCTGCTGTATCAAATATGCGCTCATATATATATATATATAGGTATAAATATATATATATATGCCGTCTTTTTCGGACGATAGGGGGCACCGGATTATAAGACGCAGTATCACTGAACGGATCAAATTTCATATATTAGTGCCACTGTATAACAAGACGTATAAGGCGAAACACAGCAGTCGGATAGGTGAGACTTAGTTAAACGCATTAACCATAACTGTCAATATTCTTCACTTTTAACACCCCTAAAAAAACAGAAAAATGCACTCGCGTTTACAACCATTCCTCTTTTAAAAATCGGTCAAATTGTTCATCATCAGTTCCGGAATACAACAATTAGGTGACAGCGGCATCATGCAAGCCCGGATCCCTTTTGTCATCATCTGAGTCAGTCTCGTTGCTGCTGTTTGGCTGTTCATCGATAATTCCCGTCTTCGTAAAAGCTCGGACGACAGTTGAGACCAATACCTTGGCCCAGGCATCGAGGGTCCGTTGGCAGATAGTGAAGTAACTAGCCAGGCGTTGCCTCCGTGTTTTGGTAGATGTGTGCACAGGTTCTGTCATCCAACGCTCCCACACTGCTCGCAATTTAACTTTGAACGCCCTGTTGACACTAATATCCAGCGGTTGGGGTTCTTTGTTTAATCTTCCCGGAAAGATGGTAAGATGCGAATTAGTTTTCTTCACTAATGTTTGACAGTTTCGGGGAGATGGGCGCACATGGAGTCGTAGATCAACAGGGACGGAGATGTGTGGGAAAACCCATCCGGTCTTCTGACGTAAACTTCTCTCAGCCACTCGCTCAGTTTCTCCTCGTCCGTCCAGCCTTTTGGTTTGACCGTGGCGATGATCGCAACTGGAAACTATTCTTTTGGCAAAGTCTTCCTCTTAACAATGACCATGGGCTTTGGTTTTTGGACATAAGCCTGGCAACCGAGAACTACAGTAAAGGATGATTTCTTGTTCCCTGTGGTGCATCTAGGTATGGTAGACGTTTATGAATTGTCAACAGTACGGTTCACGGGGATGTCATATTAGAGAGTAACTTGGTCCATGTTTCGATGCGATCCAACTGGATATTCATTTCCGTGATCTTTTTCTCGCAGTAACTGCAGAAGATAGCCAACTTTTCTTGGTAATCCTTCGGCATTTGTTACGAAGTGCCAGTTCTTGGATGGATGGATAGATGACGTCTTTTTATAAAACGACAGCACCGAGATGGACCTCCTTGAAAGTGGTTCAGCTTCATATCAATTGCCAACGCTAATGCATTGAATGGCATGCAGATTGTAGAGACACTTTTACCTGCTTTTCTATGTTCAGTAAACTGCTGCTCAATCTTGTCCTTTTAACTGTGGCCGTTTTGTTATGTGATTTCGAAAACTCTTCGTTGTTTTCTTTACTTGGCGCAGGCAATCTTGCTTCTTCCATTTTCCTACCATTGATGCATTAATGTTGCATTGTTGCGCAGCTGCTATATTCCCGAGTTGCAATTCGTGGTCGATAACCTTGAGTTTGAATTCCGCTTCGTAATCATGTCCCTTAAAAGGTATCATTTTGTGGTCCTTTATTACCGGTATGTTGAAGCACAGTACGTATCAGGAAAGGGGTAGACGTAAGCGAACAAGCTTCGTCTGCATCGACAGCACGCGACTGGCGTTGCAAAATGTTATCGTGCTTGACCACACATGTAGACCAGCTTGCATGTTATCAAGCTTTTCCCTGTAAGTTCACTGTTACTCCGTAGTACACGCACCATGACGTATGTTCCAGTTGTCCATCCGAGAATCTCAGTTTGGACGATGATGTGAGTGAACCGCACACGGGCGTCGCTGACTTTCTGGATGACAGCAACAATGGAGTGTTCTAAAACTCACCTGCAACCAGGGAGATACAAGTGCGTGTTTTTCGAGGTGCTTTGTTGGACCAAGAAAGTTTACAAGGTGGAGTAATCATCACCTATATAACCTTGTGGGATGTCAGCGTGCATGCTTGGACAGTTGGTTGGTTCATCTTCGCCAGAAAAGCTCAAATCAGTCGGCTTCTGCACAGAGTTCGCCACTCCCAAACAATCCTCTAGACAACACATGAAGATGACTCCACGAAGTTCCTGACCAGCGATTAGGCTTCGACAATCAAGGTAGTATCAGAACGTTTTGACAGATTTTTCGGCGCAGTGTGAACATAGAACTTGATTCGATAACAACAGGCCTGAGTAAAACTTTCACTCATAGGGCGCTCCGGAATATAAGGCGCTCTGCTAATCGTTTAGTAAATATAAGGGATTTAATTACGCTCAGAAGTCCGAAAAATAAGGTATATATATCCGTATATGCAGCTAATTGCTTGTTTACAGTTTTATGTATTTTTAAGAAGATGTGTACTTTGCGAATATGCACATGCGTATGCACCCATGCTGAGGTTGATGTTGCATACTTGATGCCTCTTCATCGAAGTTGGGCTAAAACAACTTACACTTAAACTAGGTCCTTTTAAGCTGGATAAATTTCGTTCCACTTTATTTGGTTCGCTCATCCTACCTGAATAATTTTCCATTAACTGGCTACGTTACTTACGCGGATTGCGCCTATCTCCGGTAACTTTGTCACGTTTGTAGCATTTTTAAGCAACTTGTGTATATATTTTATTTATCTCGGATTCGTGGCTAAGCAACTTAATTCATATGCTAATTTAGCGAAGAGTTATGCCACCGTTTCCATATGCATTATTGGATTTATTTTATTTCATTATGTCGTTTCAAGTGATTGACTGTTGCTTGATATCCCCAGGGTGGCTGCGTTTGATGTGCATGTTGACAAGGTGTCTACCTGTCTAGTACCCACTACCTCGTCCATACTGGCTCCAGGAGACACTTGGTCCTCGCTGAGGGGACTGGGTGCACGCTCTTTGTGGCCGTGCTAGGCTCGAAATGTGGTTTCATGCACTCAGTGTGGAACGGACTACGGTGCAGTCACCGTCTTGTGTGCGCTTGCTTCCCAAATCCAGCGTGCTTGTGTATGTCTGTGAAGGATTGTGAGTCGGCTCCGTTGATGAAACGTGACTCCCATCCACATGCCTCCCTGTCTTATTCCTTCTGGTTTACACTGGATATGGGTGTGTGGATGGAACTGTGGGTAGTGTAGCACAAGCCACCCTTGGTCCCTCTGTAGCCGCAGGCGTCCTGTGGCTTGCCACAGGAACAGGCAATTCCGAAACTGGATGTCACTAAGCATGCATCTGTCTTCTTGTACCAGTAGGTGCGCCACATATGTTCAGCACGTATTATATACGTAGTATACACTTGTTGAAATATGCGTTTGTGCTACCACAGTACAAGGGCAAAGGGAGCATTTCATTCCTTCATTCATTACTCCCATCAACTAGAGGTGGGAAAACACCTCCGCTATTGTGTCGCAATACATGAAGGAAATACATACATACATATAATACAATACACAAATGAAAAATAGATACAACAGTTGCATGCCAGCTGAGCTACCAGCAACGGATAGGCATCGTTCCGGTAAGCTACCAGCCAGCTACTATGCGAAAAGAAAATCTTTTTTATTATGTTTTACCCTACAAAATGAGATCGTAGATGGAGGGGGAGGCTAAAAGGGATGGGGAGGGACAAAGAAACTCACAGCACAAACGCCACTGAGGTCGGCTGCTTGCCATGTCAGCAAGTGTATCCAGCCAAACGTGTTCACCGTCTTTTGGACCCCAACCAGGGAGCCGTGACGCTCCAACCGAGGCTAGCTCCGAAGTGAGGGACTTCATTCCCCTGGACCAAGTCATCGCTTGGCCACCTCTCCGCTACTTCCACCCACATCCCACATATATATATATATATATATATATATTTATATATATATAAAACACTTGTCTAATAAACATTAAGCAAATTGCCACGACACGAGTAACAATAACATAAAGGAGGAAGAGCGTCAATCGAATGCATTACAGGTTCCATGCGCTGTGTGGGCAATAAGCTTCCTGTTTGCCCTGGCCGAGGAAGAGACTTAAGTAAATCCAACCCTAAGCCTTTGGTCTTAAAGACCTGAACCACAAGACGACGAAGCGATTCACGAAAACCGTTGACAGCCAAATGGCACATTCGTCGTCTTTGTGTTCGGAAGCAATCCACAGCGAAGCGGGTGGTCAGCGAGACTGTTCATCCACCCTCCGTTAGATACTCACCATCATTTCCAGGTGTGAGTGAGCGTTTGGTATTTGCGCCAGTTCCTATTCAATTGCATTTACCAACCCAAGCCAATATTGCGGTCAATGTGGCATGTATGCTGCAGCTCCACCCCAGTTCGTCAGTACGTGCGCAACTACGTTTCGTTTCATTAATTACAATCGTTTTTTGTGGATTAATATGTCTGCTGCGGCTTCACTTGTTGTGAATATTTATAAGCTTCCAACCTCGACTACACCGGTTCCAGAGGACGGTTGGCCGCTCCTTGGGAGGACAAGGTGCACGGTCGTCACAAAAATCCGGTAAGTATAAATCCCTAGTTAGATAGAGTAGAATGCAGCTGTGCATGCTGAAAGAGTATGGGCTGGCTCAGCTGATGAAACGTCACTCCCATCGGAATGAATTACACTTACACCGGTTCCGCGATACAATAGAGCTGATTGAATAAATACCAAAGTCTCGCACAAAGCTCCGCTCAAATTTTTGTAAAATATGCGTTAATATGGATCAAACTTCCATTGAGTGTTAGAAACTGCACTACCTATGCACAGTTCAGACGCATGATTAACATTCACCTGATTGTTGCAAATATCTGGTCAACACTAAGCCAAAAGGTGACTCTAGATGATTTGTATGAGAAAGGTCCTGGTTACGTATGAAAGTCACCATATCCTCTATTTGTTTCAATAATATAAGATTACCTACATATAGTTGCATTCTTGAGTGTATATTTGAGAACGATCTTGTTCCTATCAATCCGTCTAACCGATTCTGTTTTCTCCTTTGACGCACTGGTTCGTCGATGCACTACGCCTTTCAAGTTGATGTCTCTGTACCATCGTCGCACTCGCCAAGATTTTTCATCAAATTGTGACTGGCCTATCGGCAAGCGTTTGTATTCGTCATTATGTTTTATAATTCCTCATACATTATCTTCTTCTTTGTTTCACCGTTGGTCATGACTGGGCTGATCTCTTGTGGTGACGGATTACAGCTTCCAAAATAAAAAGTATACCCATGCAAATCATATTGCTACTGACTCGCTGGCTTAAAACAAAAAAGTGCCATACTTGATTGATCAACATTACAGAACGGGCTGAGGCTTCATCGCCTATAATGTATGCATAAAACAGCCCTAAGACAGGACATTTGATACCTAGTTCTGTTGGCCTATTTACTATCTTGCCATACAGACACAGAGCCAATTGGTGCATGGAAGTGCGGGTGAAACCCATCTTGGAAATACCCTGCATGGAAGCAAGTCCCCTGGAGACAGTTCCATGGATGACCGTGTTACTTTACGTGAACTTTCCGTGGAATCTACATTTATTATTGTTCCCAGTTTGATTATCTCTCTACATTTTCCAAACTGCTAATAAATTCAAAAGCCCATATGGGAACCATTGACCAAATGATGAATAATTAACTATATTATGCGATCATGTTGTACATGTTGATAAGACCACCCAATTGGTCTGTGCCTCGCACTGCTGAGGAATAAAACGTTTATTTATTTATTTATTTATATATTTAAAGAAATGTTAGGTTAGCTACTCAGTTCCGTTGAATCTCTGCAAATTTCTTATTTAGTTTGGTTCTCTTTTTATCGTCCTCGTTGCTCGCTGATTGCTGTTCCCTGACTTATGCTTGCATTTACCAAAGATCTACCTTACATTAGATTAGACTCAGTGTATACATTTCGCATTCGCTCTGTTCTGTCGTACCGCCGCACATACACTGTCCAGTCTGCGTGTGTATTCTCCTCCATATTATGTGTTTTCTCTTTGTTAATCCCGTTGCGGCTGGGCTTAACGTGAATGCATGTAAAGCGCTTAGCTGTCAGAAAACCGCTTCCTTGATTACTGGGTCCAGGAGACAGTGAATCGTTGCTGGCTGGACAGGGTACGCGGTCCACCTGGCAATGCTAGGCTCAACAAGTGGTTCCATCCAGTTTAGAGCGGACTACGATCCAACCATTGCCTTGTGCACGCCCGGTACGCATTTTGAAGGAGTGGGCCGGCTCCGTCGATGAAACGTGTCTCCTACGCACATGCATCCCGGTCCTAATCCCTCGGTTTCACACTGGATATGGGGTGTGTTGGTGGAACTGTGGGTGGTACAACACAAGCCACCCTAATTCCCTTTGTAAACACAGGCGTCCTGTGGCTGTCCCCACAGAGGCCGCAGTAACAGGATGCCGCCAACCGCACATGCAAGCCAATGCGTTGTTACGGAATCTTTGGCACACGTCATTTGTCCCTTTGACAACGCTTCATGTGCGACCCCAAAATTAAGAAATCAATTTAAGTCTGCAATTTTAATCAAAAGCGGGAGGCGAACTTTTAACAGAAACGTTCAGACGATCAGCTTCTTCTCTGGACTCTAGACTCGCATATGAAATCGCACATCCACTATTGGAAACACTCTCCTTCACTAGGCTGCCTAGATATCACCTGTCCCTTTATGGGATTTCAACCAAACGATAAATTTGAGATAGTAGAGGGCATATGTATCAATACAGTCTACGATGTACGTGTATCATAAGCTTTCCTTTAGCACCAGTTTTATGTGTGAGTCGATGTTGATGGACATTTAAATGTTAAATAAACAATGTATTATTCCCGAATTTGCAAGACACCATTAGGTGCTTGATCACGGAGATGCAGTAGAGGAAATTACTTGGACCAAATGCTGATCAGTACTAATTTAATAGATGATTAATACCAAGTAGATATTAGGTGAATGACCAGATATTTGACAGATAGTTGACATGTTGCTATTGGCAGACATCACGTACCCCAAACTTCGACCAGATATTATACGGTGTTCCTATGTTTCGGGAGATGATGTACGGAGCTTAGCTGTTTGATACTTAAGCCACGGAGATTCTTCTTTCGGAATCCATAGTATAATCGGTAAGAAGAATTTGAGTATCTAAGTTTAGGTTCTTTGGTACACTTTCCACCTGCGAGGGGGAAAATGCATGCATTTGTGGGTACCGCCATATAAGTTTAAATCAGGCAATAGAAGAAAAAGTGTGTGCGATTCAAAGAATATCAGCAAACATTTTGCTTTTATCAGTTTTCGTAAGATATTTTAAAGCGAACTGATATGACAACCTATATGATATCTGGGTTTGCACTTTCTTGCGATAATACCGTCTTTAGCCACTAACATTGATACACTTGGTATAATTTTCCGAGATATCTACAGTTTTTCGTTAACTGTCGAGTGAGAGAACTGTGGCTTTAACCACGCGGCTCTATGCTTAACCATGATGCCCTCTACACATCAATCGCAGATACAACGCTTTCCTTGGTTAATAAGTCTTCCTCCAAGCTGTTCAAAGATACGGAAGCGCAAACGTGCCAATATGCTAATGAATCGGACTTAGACGAAGAGGTAAGCTACGTTGAATATTACGGGTGAATGAATGCTGAATGCAGCAACCAAAAGGAGACAAATCATCTTTAAAGGTTCAGTACAATGCGACTCACACTTATATCCTAGTCCGATGCCTGTTTCAATGCACGTTTAAATTGTTCTCTCACCCTGTGCGTTAATCAATACAGTTTTAATCTTTCACAATTTTACCATCAGATCAGATTCCTTATATCGAAATAAAAGTTGGTGTGCAGTTTCAGATTCCGAGTTGAACACATTCGAGCACAGATTCTAACAGAGTGTTTTAATTGAACTTTCAAGCGTAATAAGTTTGCTTTAATAACTTGTTTCTATCTACGCTTTTTCTTTACTTATTTTTACGCGCAGGAAGCATAGGACAGCCATTTTTGTAAATAACGAAATATGCAAATGGATTTTACTAAGCTGCAATGTTCATAGAGTAGACCTTTTAGAGACAAAACTTTACACAACTTTCGTAGTTGTGAGCCCTACAAGTTCTGTCCGACCTGTCCAAGGTGAGCACTTTTTGTCGGTCCCTTAAATGATCGCTTTAGACAGCTTTGAGTGCATCAACATCATGAACGTCTGCAAAACCTTTAATGCGATGTAAGCTTCAATGAAAATGGAAGCTAGTCACAAAAAACAATTTAAATATAGCTTGTATATAAGTCCACTCGGTTTTAATGACCCGCTGAGCGCGTCTCATTTGTCTGGACGCATGTAACATGTATAGACCAAACAAATCGTGTGCTCATATTGCGATCATTCCATTTTATCTTGTAATGAAGTATCGCATCAACCACTTGTCCAGCTGTCATGAATTTTTCTTCTCACACGTTGTGACCTCATTCATAACAGACCGGTATATATCTAATGATCGTTTAGTAACCGGAACACGAAAGCGAGCATCTTTTTGGTAGTTTGACGCATACTAAAAGTAAGGCAATTATCAAACTGTAGTGCAAGCTTCAAATAGTAACAGAGCAGCAAACTTTCCTTTTCCGGCAGATGCAAGCATCCTCAAGACGCGAAGAAATTCCCGGAAACATGCCATTAGTCGTTTCGTGAGTTAAAACAAGCAGTGGCTTTTTCTACCTCAATTAGCATCATGCATCCTTCTTACATAACACGAGTATTACTTGTTTCCAAAGATCAAGGGTTGAAATCAAACTATGAGGAATTTGAACGTCTTCGCAGCAAAAATTGCGGTGATTCGTTCACTATGATCTGGGCTCATAAATTGATGCAGACAGCAAAGTCCCGGGTTCGATTACCACAGTCAAATCTTTGGAGCGAGCAAGAACGTTAGTCATCATAGCTATGAATCAGACGGACGAAATAGTCTGGCTTTGCCCAAGTAAATCACTCTTTACGTTGAGATTGAGATTCGAAATGAAAACGCACCTTAGCACTCGGAAACTCAACAGCATGAAGGTAGATAATTCAGGCCGGACTTATGTGGTTTATTTAGAGAGGTCCCTGTGTTTTACCTCTGTAAGAGTAGAGTGGTCATCTCAAAATTGAAAGGTCGTGTCGATCACCGGTATCTGCAACACTAAGAAAGCCGGATCCCTGGATTACACTAGTAACCTAGTGGTTCAACTTTGACTGCTGGAATGTTGAGATGTGGTTGATTCGGGATTTCAAATGATAACCACGCTTAAAGGCACCTTTTCTTTGTGAACTGCAAAGGTTTAGAGGTGTTTGTTCTGATTGTTACATGAAGATATTGTCTTAAAAAGAGCAAATATATTATTGAACTAATAACTTTTAATTTTCCAGTCACTCTTTCCAGCTAACAGTTACAACAGTGGATTTGCGATTCTTCCGATAGCCCCTAAACTTGCTTCACCATTTTCAGCTTAAGAAGCGGTGTTTTCACTTAACATTTAACTGCTACAAGTGATCAGAAGCCATTGTATTTCTCAACAAACATCATCATCATCATCATTATACATGTCAGCTAGAGATGATAAAACACCTCCGAGATTGTACCGCAAACAACAAACACAAATATCATGATTACCAAGACCGTGTTCATTCGAGTAGTGGACGCTCTGTAATTCCATCTCTAGGTTGCGCCCCTATTTCCACAGTTAATTGCATGTTTATTTAGATTCATCAACCAGAACTGACTTGGGACTGTGACATATCTTAAATGCATTGGTTGACAGCGGGCATCCAATAGTAAACTCATATCGGTCGTTAGCAGTATTCGAGAGAAGCATCATTCGGAGGATATGTTGGGACCAAAAGAGAAAACGCATTACTTCTGTTGTTTGATTACTAGTATAAGCGAAGTTACGTTTGAGAACCCTCAGCTGGACGTCAGTCGATGCCGCTGAATAACATAAACAATAGGTGAGCAAACTTTCTTCGTGGTGGAAAGATCAAATATGTTTACGTTGGTGAAGAACAGAACTAACCGTACAAACTTCAGCTCCTTGTGGCGTTGTGACTCATGCCATGGCCAAAAGAATATCAGAAGTTGAAAACCCCTAACTGAGTTCCGATCTACTTGGGTGACTTGTTCATCAGTCGCCAAAAGACACGCATGCAGCACGGATATGGATCAACATCAATTATATAAGATCAGTGTAAGCGCCATCTATTGTTTGCTATCCGGTAATTTCTGGGTGGCTGAACGTCGGTGAATCATTTTAAACTGTTTAACAAGACGGTTTGTTCACATAAAGTGAGGTCGGTTTCTGCAAATCCCGTCATTATCTTTCCATACTCCGAAAATACCTTCAGTGATGGACAAAGTGACGAAGATGTCCAACACGAACCTCGCCACTTGGACAGTTCTGCTTCCAATGGGATAAAAGAACTCCGATCTGCGGATAGCGGCGGTCTATCAGCACCCACACGTGACCAGTGCACCTACACCCAACTCAGCAGGCAAGCTGCTGTCGTCCTCGTCCATGAAGAATCGAGTGCACATAACGTGAAGGACAGTGAAGTCACCTGGAGATTTGTGAAACAAGAACAGGTAAAAATACTTTTAGAGCAGGCTTCTGGTTTATTATTCTGAATAGGGCAGCGAGGCCGTTATCATGGGAGGGTTTACAGAAAATGTTTTGATTTTCAAGATTACATATCCGTCCATGAAGGATTCAAGCACTCAAACAATGAGAGGAAAGTCCAAGCTTTCGTCAGCACAAACAGAAAACTTTTCCAAACGTTTGAAGAGATCTCAAGATACAGCCTTGGTACACAGGACCGAGTTAATGACTAACCAACGTAGCCGGGAGGTATTCAAGACAGAACGACAGTTGACGGCTCATTACCGTTTGGACAACGTGAACTTTGAAGATTACCAAATTTCTGGTATGTATTCTTTTTGCTTTGTTGTCATATTTTTACAATAGTCCTTAGAGTCATTGCGAGTGCGCTAGAGCCTAAAATATTACGTTACAGTACAAATATCTAGTCAGGTTTCAGCTAACAAAATGGGAATCGCTAACAACTGCAGCAAGCATTTTTCGTGGGTTATGGTTTTCCAGTGATGAATGCGGCACCCAGTAGTTGCGGTACCCCAGATGCAGGCTGGCTTGCCGAACAACATCCTCGTGGTGCCAACTGGGTGGTTCGGGATTTTCTCGTTCCAGCAAATGGTTCGGCTGCAGTGTTCCAAGACGTGGTGGGTTTTCGCCTGGCAAGCGTTCTCCCTATAAAAAGCCACATATGTCCGTTTAACAACACTGTGACGTGGCGGACGTGACTCGCCACTAAATAAAGTCACTGCCCCCTTGCTTCATCCTGGCGAAGCATTAAATTCCAGCAACGTCATGCTGTACTTCTGGGGAGCATTGGGCCCCTGTTTGACAAAGGAACAAACGAAAGGCGTATGAACTGAGCAATCAGTCACCGGCTCCCAATGGGCGCGATTCCCTGAATTCGCTCCGCTGCCTTGCAGGCAGGTTATTCAGCCAAAGGCTCGGGGTGGTGTCCCCTAAGTCAACACCCTAGTTCGGCTCGGGCAACCGGGTAGTATCACGCCCTCTGACGAAACCATGGACATTGTTATGTTGTTTTATTATACTGTTTCTTTACCTTCGTTTGAATCCCATGGTTTCTGATGGCATTATGTCTGTTAGCAGACTTTTGAATATATATATACCAAAGATGCAATTCACAACCTCAGATACTTCATGCTGAGCGATCCACAGAAGAGCGTAAATGGTGACAGGGAGCGCGAGCTAGCAAAAATGGAAATCTGTCTGCAATTTGAGTGAGATCATGTAGTGGGATTTGATAGGAGTTCGTCTTGGGGTGTATAAGTTGGTAATCAAGGCAACGCAATGCAGGCATGGTAACTAGATAGCGCTACAATGAAGTAGAATGTCCGGAAATAATTGAGAATGTCTGTGGCTCAGGATGTGGATGAGAGGATTGTTGTGATCTCCCAGTTGGGCATTTTGGTTGCACACGTTTCATTGCCAAAATAGTCATCATCCTCAGTGCGGATATGGATGTCTGATTTGCGGAGTCTCGTAAGTCACTGTCAGATCCAAGTGACTATTGATCGTCCTGCTTTGAATGTATCTTTGATTGGATCACGTGGGTCAGCCAATTGGCCACGTACAAGACCTACAGCGCGTAGTCTTGGCCACTCGGCCGACCCTCGTGATCCAGTCAAAGATACCTTCAAAGCATGAGAGTATCAATAGTCACTTGGGTGTGGAAGCGGCTTACGAGACTCTGCAAATCAGACCTCTATAGCCCACTAAGTATGCTACCTAGTTTGGCAACGAAACTTCTGCAACCAAATTGCCTAGCTCGGAGAAGTATAATGTGTCCATTTGGACCGTGTTCATTTAGGGTTTGGTTTGTTGGAGACTAACGCAGTGTTCTTTATCCCATTCTCTTGTTTCGATTTACACATTCACACAGATCTCTGTATTCCTGCACTGTTTATGCCAATGGGAAATGCGTCAGGCCGATATTACACTCCTCGGGCCCGTGAATACTTCCATCCCACAGGAGTGAACATGCACCGAATTACACAACCCCCATCCGTAATGAACTTGCCGCCAATGAAGCCTGTATCCTTTTTATTTGAGCTGCTCTCATGTTCTGTTAGGCAGTGAATTATTGATCCGTTCAAAAAGTGAACTAGCAGTACATATTTGATTTTGTGTGTGCGGCACTTCCGGCAGCTAGCCGATAAAATATCCGACACGTTTGCTGATCTCCAAACAACCCGGGTTGAAATCGCGATTCTGCTATATTTACAGGATATGTCTAAACAAGCACTAAAGCTCGACAGTGTTTTAAATCAGTTATTTGCAGCCTAGCTCAATCGAAGCACTCTACAGATTCGGAAGTTCGCTGGCTGGCAGTTTCATTTCGTTTGAAATCCTCAGTTGCTTAACATGCGCTGAATTCCGGTGGACGTCGATCCGCGTTTCATCACAGCCAGTATACAAGCATTGCGGTTGGTGGTCGTTACCCAAGACTTAGAGGCCTAAGTCACTGGCTCTGCAGCATAGAGTTATGCGTTCGGATAGAGCAGCATCCTGCGGATGAGCGTTACTGACGAACCTTGGTAAGACGAGCAGGTCATCTAGCGTTGTATGGATGTAGGGTGGATGTCTAGCAAAACCTAGCTACGAAGGACTGTCCCATAAGTCCGAAACCGGTATCGGAGTCCAGTATTACGAACAAACCGGCGCCAACCTTTATCTACTTCAACCACAGTTCTGGTGGCCAAATTCACTGAGACTCCATACAAGTGGTTCGTGGTCCAAATCAACGTTGTAAGTCTCGATGCAGTTGCGTAATGACAGCTTCTGAAAGACCCCACAATATGTGCTGTACACATGTTTGTTCAGTACACGGAGAGAACTTCACAGACCTCTTCAAACGACGCAGGCCCACCGTAACGTTTGCGACTGTGTACTAGAGCACGCATAAATCACGAAAACTGCAGTTGATTCCTTAACGGACACACTGAAGTCGACCCACGTGGAGGGAACACATAAAGCAACTGGCTTTGCTTGAGGTGTGTTATTTGGGCGCTGCCTCAGCTGAGATAATGCATCCTTGAACTTATTGGTGTTGTTATTTACGATATACTACTTCTAATTGATGGGCCCCGTAATCAAATTTGTTAATCACAGTTCAAGCAAATTTGAATCATTATTCATGAGTTGTGAAGTTATAAAGACAATGTGTCTATCAACATATAATGGGAAGACGGAATTGGCAGATTAAGCGCCTGATTTCATTTTATGTATATTGGTTAATCATGTTGTTGATGAAGGAAGTTCCTTTTAGTAAGAGTAGCTCTTAGGCTCTATATCGCACATAGCTGCTGTTATTAAATGTCCTGACTCTAGGGTCATCCGTGTCCACTGCAGAGTTAGTAACTAACTTTATCACAAACATCATGATCTACGGCTATCACCCGTGGCTGATTTGCTTAAGCGACTGGCCACTGGTACAAGCCACCAATAATCATGGGTTCTGATTCTGATGTGGCCGTGGGATGCACATCAATGACGAATCCCAATCAGAGGAAACAGCCATCTGGTTCCTTTCCGGATAGACGCTAAGACACATAGGTTGGAAGCCACTGTGACAGACTCTTAATGAGAGGTTTATCTGTGGTAATCACACTAAAAAGCGTGCTGCTCAACTCAACACCAAAGTTAGTTTTACCTAACTAAACAGGTTGTGGTTCCACAATGAGGAAACGAATATCACCATTACAGCTGACTACAGAAATAGCGATCGAAATGCGGCATGAAATGCGCAGAATTCCGAATTCCGAAATATACATAAAGGTGATAGACACACGGCCACAAATAGAAAAAGTCACACTGGGCAAGCAGGTCACATGTGCAACTAGGTAACCATGCAGCTCAGAGGCGAGACATTGTCAAAACTTTAGACCGCTGACGGAATACCAGCTAATTAGCCACTCACTGACACTGAGCACTCTACATACCAACCCGAAATGGCCTGCGGCTTATTTCGGCCGTTCAATCAAAGAACGACTGGCAGCAGACCCCACAATGGTCGGCATAGACTCTTCTGGAAATCGACATCAGAAAACAAGCTCTTAATCAGTGAAGCTCTGAACTGCTTTCATACCAACGCACAAAGTCTTCTAAGCAAACTAAGCAGCTTCATATTCCTTAAGTCTTCACGGCTTAGGACATAGTCATGGCTAAAGAAACATGACTGAGCACGGTGAACACCAATGCTAAGACTACTCTGTCTAGCATGATTACCCTACGAAACGATCGACCCAGTAGAGGAGGCGGAGTGTTCCTGTATAACCGATGAAACATCCATATTGATATACTTGACGATCCAGACATGCAAGTTATTGATTCTCTTTGGTGTTGCCTGCATCTGAAACATGGTGATGTGAAATTACTTAAAAAATACCGCCCTCGAATGAACACCCTAGAATAGGAGCACTGCCTGGCGTTTGTTATAAAGCAATTCCTGGCACAGCAGTACAGCCAACTCCCTCTGTTGGGCGACTTCTACCCGACAGCAATCAAATTCCCCGCTTCGCCCAAAGAACAATTCAAAGCCGACTTGCAAGGTATAATCGCTGACGTACATTTATACAACCATGTCACCTCTCGCACGCAACTCAGAACGGGTGATGGGCCATCTGTTTTGCACATTGTGCTCAACCCCGAGAAACGAATGGTCGATACCGTAACCATCTATGTACCGTTTGGCCGTAGCGACCATGCGACTCTGCTCTTCTGCAACATTTGCCACACGAATTACACCTTTGAAAACAACGAGGAAACATACATGGTCACCCATTGTGCAAGTTCACTAGGTCCTTCAAGAAACCAACTGGTACTTCCTAGCTGATCAGCTTCCTGATATCGTCTAGGAAGAATTTGTCACATAGTTCACCGAGTTAGTAGTACATGCGTCGAAGGTCGACGATATTCACCAGAAACAAGTGCAGTCCTTTCTGAGTAGCCAGACACCAAAATGCATGTCCTTAAAGGATTTGGAATGGAACGTTTCTAAATTCTATCCGGGTGTACCGACTTAGGGTGCCTATATAACTCGACGAAAACACTGCATCCAGTTGGTTGTGAAGACACTTCAACACCTACATGGCTTAGTGACGAAATTCAGTTTTACTCCCAAAATACTGTACAGGCACATTAATAAGCACCGGAATGTTCAGTGCAGAATCGTTATAAATGCTGCAGATGGTACGGCGCCAACCATAAAAACGACGGTCGTTGCCCTTCGGCAGCAATTTACCCGCACTTCCCAGAGCGAATGCTAATCTTTTGACACAGTTCCCATCACCACCAAGTCTACGTCATATAAGGCTCACGTTAGCCCTTGAACTACTGTTCAGTCATTCTCCTCCCAAAGTAATGTGAGACATAATCGCTGAAGCGCAAATGGGATCCCTTGAGTGAAACAACTTCATAGTGTCACAGCAGCACGGCTTTCTCTGATCTCGGTCCTGCACAACAACCTACTGCTAGCTTTAGCAAGCTGGATGAGGTCAGTCGATGCCAGAGTCGATGTCGTCTATTTAGAATTCTATAACGCTTCCGAGCGCCTGGACCACCACATTCTAATTTACAAACTTTGGAGCTATGGATTTGGCCACCCTGTGATGGGTTGTATAAACAAGGTCATAATTCGACGTCAGTTGAGTGTGCTGTGTAGTTTAGTATTTCAAGAAAAAGCGTTTAGTTGACCAAATCAACTGGGCAAAAATTACAACACATATAACAAGCCAAGCAACTGGACATAAGTTGCACGTCCACATTGATAACTTGCTACCCTTCTGAGTCGATGATATTCCTTCGTTGACTCAGATAAACAAACGGTGTGTAACTCACGCCAATATCTACCAACCGTGTCCAGCAATCCAATCTGTGACGCCCGTCTCCCATAGGCTTTCTGAGTCGCTCAGTTAATCTATTCGCTCACTCTGATATGACACTCACATTACAGTGTTAGTCCGCGACTCAATTCCTAACCCTATCAAAGTCTAGTGTGGCGTGTTTCAACGATGCGTACTAAGTCCACGTTTGTTCCTTTCCTTCATCAACGACCTTGTCATTGTGGTCCGATCGCACTTCTTAATATTTTCGGAGGTCAGGATCTCGCATGACATAAAAACAGTGGACGAGCACGCGGCACCGAAGGGAGATCTCGACAGGGTCTCAACGAGGACCAGCTCTTGTACTTGTACCCTTGTACTTTTGCTAACCTTCACCACCTATGGCGGCGGCGCGACATTACTCTCGCCCTGAAGGGTAGAGTGTACAATGCAGCGGTACGTTCGACCTTACTGTACTTGACGTTAAGCTGCCAAATCGGACGACGGCTTAAGTATAGCTACTTGGGAATAGATACTTCAAATTGAACCACTCAATCTAACTGCTTATAGTGTTTTCGCAGGTAAAAGAATTTCAGTGTTGTTCACAGAGAAGAAGTTTGTGCAGACGATCTGTATACCCTGTCCTCAGACTAAGATAAGTAAGCAAACCTATTACATAATTCCCCCGACTCCACTCAGTTAGGGCTAATCACATAGCCTTTTGGATGAGATATTTTGATTTAATGACGCCTGTAATTTACGTGTTCATTATGGACATACACAGTTATTGTTGTATTAGCCTGATGATGATCCACTGAAAACAAGCTTGTTCGTTACGACCTACTTCTAATATTTTAGTGGTATTATTTCACAATTATTCAATTAATTTATTTGATGTCGTTGAATGTGTTTGGCTGTTGCCTGATATCCCCGATATGGCTGCGCTTGATGTGCATGTTGACAAGGTCCCTACCTGTCTATTACCCACTACCTCGTCCATACTGGCTCCAGGAGACACTTGGTCGTTGCTGGAGGGGACGGGTGCACGGTCCTTGTGGCCATGTTAGGATCAAAGAGTGGTTCCATGCACTCAGTATGGAGCGATATACGGTCCAGCCACCGCCTTTTATGCGCTTGATTCCCAAATATAGCGTGCTTGTGTTTGCCTGTGAAGGAGTGTGGACCGGCTCCGTTGATAAAACATGGCTAACATCCACCTGCCTCCCGACCTTATTCCTTCAATGTTACACTGGATATGGTATATGTTTGGAGTTGTGGGTGGTGCAGCGCCATCTACCCATGGTCTCTCTGTAGGTACAGACGTCGTGTAGTTGTGCAAAACCTGAAAATCCGAAACGGATGCTACCAATCGTCTCCGCACCCGAAGTTCTTCCTTTCTCCGAGCTAATAGGTTACCTTTATTTTCATACACGCACTCTGATCATCCTACGGAAATTTCAAGCAAATTCCATCTTGTCCGTCACGAATCATTATTCCTCAAATTGGTGAGCATGAGCTAGGAGAATATTACCTATTTCGACAAAAATCGTAGCTCTGAAATTGAGCTTTGCTTAAGTTGAATCGAATGCCAAGAGATCTCAACTCGATATCCAATGCCGTTAGCCTGTACTCTATATTATAATGGGCCTTGCTGGAATAGCTGAAAGCAATTCCATCTCATTCGCTGCGCTTATTTTTGTGCATACGTTGCATCAGTACAAGCTAAAGTTCGCGGTAATTGACCAGTTGCATCTTATCAATCAATCTTCCGTTGCGAAGTAGGTGTATTTTCGATTTAAACATTTGGAAACCATCTAGACGGACAACGATTTATCCAAGCAATCTCGAGATTACTTCTTGTGTCACGTCGGATGTTGCGACTACTGTTGGCAACCTTTTTGGCGTGGGCACATGGAAATCTTGAGTAGATGGATAAAGACATTTTTGTGGAGCTTCCTCTCGGCACACAGGGAGGGCGCAATACACTTATGGTCATTCCTTATGTGTCCAGCCAGATGCGGCGAAACAGAACCATATCAACCAAATTTGGACACTTGGTTGGACGTTGTACATAGAAGGTGTTATCGAGTGCGTGCCAGTTTTAGCTGCTTCATGAAAACAGGCCAACTCAGAAGAGAACAGAGCTCGAGTCAGCTTCATAGCAAACATACACGTAAAGAGCAGCTGCGGGGACAACCGGGATGGTTGGGCTTCTCGGTCTAAGATTTCGAGTCTCAGATTGATATTCCGGCTAACTTGTGCCAGAGTATACCACGGATGCAATGAGTGATTCAGTACGAGTTATACTAATCTACGGATACCGGGTAATGGTTGGTACTGTCAACTGAACAAAAATAATAATGATAGTACTAATGTTAATAACAATAATACTGTAATTTGGAGGGTCAAATTTGGACTACACGTTGTGTGATTGGATTGCGACGCGCAATGTCAATGTAATGGACTGTGATTCACATTGAAATGAACCTTAGTCACTGCGATCACTGGGACCGTATTCAAAGTAGATGGAAATTGGTTGTTACCCAACCGAAAACACTGAACAACCACGACGCGTTTCGATGTCATTTCATCTCATCATTTCATCTCATCATCATCTTCACTTCTCTTCCTTTACTTAGTTGTTTACAGATCGTGGTCACACTGGTGGGTGAATTAGTTAAAAATTGGGCACCAGCAGTGCACCCGAACGACACACAGACGTTTCGTTGCCACGTGACCACCGCCAGTTGCGCGATGGCTAGCGGACCGGGAGTTCGCCCGCACCCGCTGACAAGAGCCTGCAGCCATTTCGGCCATCGATGAACACTATGCGAACGATGCCACCTCCCGTTGGTATTTGGAGAGGAATCCTCCAGACGGTTTACAATATATATGACACATCATCAGTGTACAAGCCGACTGCGCTGCTCAGCTTCTACCATGTGCAATTACTTTGTATACCCGAGCAAAACCGTGTGGTAGCTAGTCAGTGAGTTGGTATACAAGTGTGCTGAGATCGACGGTAACAGTTGACTGGCCTGGCGCCTGCTTTCTTTGTAGGTGTGGACTTCAGGATTCGCAACATCAGTTGTTGGGAACTCTATCTCACTTGGTTCCAGCATTCGGTGTGTTGCGCTTGTCTGTTTATGTTCCACCTAGATGATTTCTACTCACTTTCGCCAAGGGCACTTTAATTTGTGTTATTTTTAAGTTCTGCTTAAAATCCATGCATACAGTCAATTCCTGTTCTCTTGGGAAGGTAAGTAATGGCACCTGGATCTGCTGCGCAACGATGAGTTGGTGATACTTGTCTATCAAACTTTCGGCTGTCCTCAGATAATGAGACTAAAGCCACATTTTGCCAGTGCTGTCTGTCTCTGTGTGCCTATGCCACATGAGATGGCGCATATGCCTTTAACGATTAAAGCACGACCGACGTCTGTAAGTTACTAAAATGTTAGTGGTTTATCCCTGAGTCATTTCAGATATTTATCGGACAGCTGCTTTCAACCCTTAGATGCACCTCATTATGACTTTCAAATGAAGCACACAGCTGAAGTTATCTAATTGCCTCTGTTCGTAAGTACACTGGCAGCGCACGCTCCACTCTTTGCACCTGATCTGGTTAAGCTAAAGAACATTTTGACTGGACCCCAGTAAAATCCTGTATAATTTGCATCATAGTTATGTGGAATCAGCTGCCTTCTTGTTTCGTAGCGAAAATTGAGATAAGGTGGAATTACTTTGCCTTGACTCACTCGAATAATTGGGATAACGAACCCGTTATCTGCAATTTAATGCAGGCACAACTCAAGCACAAGTTGCTAACCATAAAACTTGGATTGCTTATTATATTCGAAATAACCTACGAATAGGCATGGAGCCGTCAACAACCATGGAAGGTACAGGGATGGTTAAACAAACACAACACAACACGGATGCGTGCATGGTTTTGTCAGAGGACGAGGTCCTACCCGGTTACCCAAGTCGAAGTAGGGTGTTGACTTACGGAACACCACCTAAAGCCTTTGGCCGAATTGCCTGCCCGCAAGGCAACGGAACGAATTCGGATAATCGCGCTCATTAGGAGCCGGTGATTGATTGTCCAGTTCATACGCCTTTGATTTGCTGTTTTTCCAATCAGGGGCACAATTCTGCTCAACATTTCTGCATTAAGTTGCTGAAATACAACGCTTGGCCAGTATGAAACAAACGGCAGTGACTTTATTTAGGAGTAAGTCAAATCCTTCACTTCACAATGTTGTCAAACGGAAATGTGGGGCTTTTTATGGGGTTCGCTTGTCAGGCGAAAACCCACCACGTCATGGAACACTGCCGCCGAACGACTTACTGGAACTGGATAATCCCGAAACACCCAGCTGGCACCACAAGGTGGTTGTTCGGCAAACTAGCTTATTAGAATTTCCGAGTGATGAAATGACATACAGGAGAAAAACCACATAATGTGTCATAGAATTCTAAACCGCGCTTGACAAACTGAAGTTTCTGGCAGTGCTGTTGTAAATCCCAATATAGCAGCAAAACAGATGGCTAGCATCAAGGAAACTCCATTCCATTATGCCAATCTGTTGTTAGTAAATTCTCGGAAGAATTCGGCTCCACTATGACTATCTAAATTCCATAAAAGCTACAAAATGATTAGCCCTAGTAGTCCTCAAACTGCTGTATGGGTAAACAGTTACTAGTAGGGAAGTTCTGATGCTGTAGGGCCGAACACATCCCTCTGCAGGGGACAGTAACTTGCATGTCATTTGAGAATGGGTCGAGGTACTTTGCATTTAGAGTTCAATCCGTGATGGTCGACTATCCTCCTCCAAGGCTCAGTGGCATAAGCTGCTGGCTGGTTTTCTAAGCCAACAGCTCCCGGGCGGTTCGGTTCCCAGAAGGGAGCCGAGGCAATACGCACCATTTACGGATAGCATGAATACGAAACGGACGCATGCGGCTTTTCCGGACTAGTATTTAGTCTATCTGGTTTGTGATCTATTTCAGACGAACAAACTAGCTAAGTTCCTTATAGGGAGTACTGTTCAGACGCAGGTGAACCAGAAATTGTGTAGCATTGTTTGACAGGTCAGTAGTTTGAAGATTGTACGAGAACGTTTTCGAACAATACACCCAGTTCATGTCAGATAAAGCGTTTTCTTCCGAAAACCTATAAGGCTGAGCGTTAGATTTTATATTGCGCTTTTTGCTTATTTAATATCTGTCTGCTTGTCTGCCCATGACACCCAATTTGGAAATTTCATCTGACTTGTAATCATCCAGCTAGAAGTACCTTGACGACAGGTATCCCGTAGTCATTCAAATCTCTGCTCGCTCTTTGCCAACTACGACGCGACATAGTAGAAATATCTTCATTGAGGTCAGAGCTGACCACCACTAAATTAGCAGGAAGTTAATGCCAATTTCGTCAATTTCAAGTCGAAACACTTCTGCTGTTGTTTAGGGTGCTGTACCTGTTCTAAGCAAAACAGGGATTGAGTCAGAATACCATGTGTAACACACAAAATATACTCATACGTAAATTAAATCGAATTATCATCTTCTTTTTCTGGTCCCATGATAATTTTGTAACCTTTGACCTATTGTTTCAGGAATCAGCTGTTCATCTGTATGAAGTCACAAGTTGATAGCAGATCATCTGTAACGCTGATGGGTGTTGTACTGTGCCATGAATGATTCACGATGTGTTTATCGCCGCTTTTTCATCCTCAACTAGTAATGCAGTAATACGGCGAAAGAGAGAATACAGTAAAAATACCCCATCGGAAAAAAGGAAACTTATGCAATATTGCTAGAAATTTGACTTGAAAAAACGCATCCCATCAGTCAATTTACCTAGCGCAGAAAGAAGATATATGTTGTGCGATGTTGCCCTTTCCATTGCTCCCATCAACCGCGAACGCAATACAGTTAGGAAGAAACATAAGTGAATATGTGAAACCCAAATTGAAACAAAATGATCCATCAAAACCAAGACAATCTAACAGATTGCTTCAGTTGATTCTGTGCACAGAACACCGGCTGATACTTCAAGATAAACAAACCCTTAGTGATAGCCAGGCTTTTTGGATTCTTATCGCGCACCAGTATTTCGGACGCGGTAGCTGGATCCACGTGATGACGAATCAGTACGATATGCCTCGCAGTGGACGAGGCAGGACTGCGATTCTTTAGTTTATCCGCACCAGTTTGTTGCCCCAACGCTTGCCGTAGCCAATTTGGCAGGTGTTCCGCCATCCGTCTACCGTTAGTCCTGCCTATGTAAACTTCACCGTAACTGCAGGTGAACTAACTCTACGTTGTTTTGCTGGGCCGCAGATACCCGTGTGCCAAAATAAATGCTTTCAGGCTAGCTCTGACACCAGATAATGCACGCTACGGGACGTTTATTGTAGTTTCAAAGTGCAAGGCAATACCAGTGGATCAAGTCAATACGAAAATGGTTCTCACATTCGAACCCAACATGGGCCAGATGGAACGTGCACTGCTGACATTTCCCGAAAGGCTGAAACAGCATTACCCTGCTTTTACGGGAGTGCGATGGCTGTCTGATTGTTTCTAATAATGAGGCACGCAACTTTTACGACTGTGAAATCGATGCGCACATCAAAATGTTTTAAGAGAATTAGTCAATTCACTAAAGGCTTTATGAACTTATCTGGGAACATTTTCAGCATTCCATACTAGCATTGCGGCCATAATGATGCATAACCTCATTATGAAACTACAATCTAAACGTAAAAAGAAGCAATAATGCATTCACACTACCCAAGTTAAGGTTCAGGAATGGTGCAGGTAATTTTCTTGGTCTCCAGTATCAAACGGGATAAATACGGGGAGGTTGAGTTATGAGAAAATGCGCAAGTATAAAAGCTCTAAGTTTCCTGCGGGTAGAGAAGTTGTAGCAACTTCTGATAAACCAGTGTGAAGAGGGAAAGCATCAGTTAAAAGCTTTAATGAAAAAGTGTTGTATGTTCCAAAAGGACCAGAAAATATGAAGTCAACCAGAGGCTATCTGAGCAAACCGCTGTTCCTGGTAACAGGCTTAATGGAATGCATAATCAATGTTAATACTTTGAAAGAAGACTAGGAAAATGGTTGGTGCGCAATATAGGCAATGAGGAGGAATATGCATTCAAGAATTTGTAGATTAACGAACAGAGTACTGAAGGTATGCACTGTGTCGGGCATAAGATGATGGTTTTCGCTCCTAGCGGAAACTTTCGTCAACATGTGATCACCAAGGTAGATGATGGCATATATATACACCTAGGTACTTAACAGTGGATGAAGTGAGTACGTTGTAGTCGCTTGCCATCAGGGGGCAAACGTTTTTGTCCTAGTCAGGCGTTTGTCGTTGCGCAGAAAATAGCAAGTCACATCGCCGTACTTAGAGGCGTTGAGAATACGGGAGCGGGACAACGATCACTGCTTAACTCATCAAACCGGTTTTAGTGAGTCGTTGATGATTCAGCAGGTGAAGGATTGCTGCCATGAACAGCGTCGGCAGCATACTTACATCCTATATTTTGAGGAAATTAAAAGCATCGCCTTGCATAAAGAGAATAGATGAGTAGTGCGCCTCTGCCTGCAATACGCCCCCAGTCATCACGAATATTGGAGTTGTTCTACCGCATATATGTGTACAATGACAGCGAAATAGTTGCTTATCAGGTTGCACAATGCTTGTTGAACGCCACTCGCAGACAGCTGACTCAACAGGATTGATCTGTCGACATTTATAAAAGCATTGATTTCATAAAGGAAGAGAGGCCACACAGTCTTCTATTTCGAGTCCAATGAGGAAGCTGTAGGATGAACAATGTACGCTACTGAATCCAATGTGGATCCTCAGAGTCTGTATGCAAACGGAAATGCCTTTACGGCCGGAGTGTTTGTTGAGATCCAAAGCACATGTAGTCGCTGGAAGAGTTAGATGACCGACGTGTAAGCTTTCAGACGGAATCCCACCGATCCCATTTTGGCACGGGCATCCTTACGACAGATGTCCAAATGTCGGGAATAACAGCACCGTGTAGGCCCCGATTGAATAGGTTTGTCGATCGCATGAGAAGGGTATTGGCATACTCTCCCAAAACAATTAGTAGAGAGCATCGGGCTTACTAGCTTACCTTGAATTTAGATTCCTGAATTCAGAGTGGACTTCACGGTGTTGAAATATATATTCCGGGCCATTGCCAGTGGACGTAAAGAAATTACTGATGAATACAATGCTTCCTGTGAGCTATTTGAGAAAGCAGGGTTAAGTTTCTCTACATCCACCAATACAAGTTAATTAGTAAAGCTTTTGTTGCATGGCCCCTTGAAAAGACTGCACAGTTATCTTTATTGGTGATTGCATGAAACCGCTTCGTTGAATAAAATTGTTTTTTCGTGAGATCTCATTTATTACCGCCAACTACGTTGTTGTGATCTGAGCTATAATTTTTTAATTATAGGCCTATTAATTTTCTCACATTTAATAACATAACCACACCATTTTTACTCACCCGGTAGCCAAATTGTTCTCACCACTCGTCAGTAACAACCGGTTTGAATGTATTACTCGCAACGAGTGCTGATGGAATGAGCATTTACGAACATTCGCGAAGGGATGCAACGGCCGCACGGTGTTTTCCGGGTGTAATGGCTGTCTGAGTGTATCTAGGTGTGAGGAACTTCTACTTGTACAACGCAAATTACTTAGAGTTCCATCGTAGGCATGGAACGAGCAACTGCAGATCAGTGGTATCTTACGGGAAAAACTGAGGCTTGATATGTTCGCAGGGGAGATTCAGGTGAATCACATGACTTTATATATGTGATAGTAAAGTGAAATGGGCATAGATGGATTCATCATATTGTCCGCGTTTCGACATGAGTAGATCTGTCTTCCCGATTTCGTGTGAGTTGGCCTGCAGAATGTTTCTCTGCTTCTTGTCGTCACTCCATGAACATAATTAAAATCCGGCAATTCATATTGTGTAGTGCGCCTTTGAGTCATTTTTATGTAGTAATAATGTGGGCGCAGAAATGATAGATCGGCAGAGCGTACCATTAGTGACAAATCCGAATAGAAACAATTCCAGCTGCATCCAAGCCTGTGCGCTGTTTAACGCGTGGTTGCACGGGCTTATTTCTAGCTACCCCCATAAGAACACACCCTATCCTACCAGCTTTAGTACTGTTGAGATGCTGTAGACACTTGAACCATGAACAATGATTTATAACGGGTAAAAAAGCATGTGCTTGACAGGTCCCGCAGGGTGGTTGGAGCAATAGATAAAATGGAAGGATAAGCGAACAAGTAAATCGTTTTTTAGGCCACTACAGATTTCAACGCACCACTTCATAATGATAGTTTGAAGTATGGACTGGATGTCTGCACCCAAAGCAGAGCTGTTATTACAACAAATGTGGGAAAAAGAAATCAAAGGCACGGATAACGCTCACTCGTGTGTTGCTTCCGTTGAGAGATGTGGTACGTTACTCCAGTTTGTATACATCCAAATCGCTCATTGGGACGCTTCTGTATGTAACATCAGCGCCACTTTGCGAGGAGGGTCAGTAACCTCATGGTTTGGGTCTCGTTATTTCATCCTCCGAATTAGGACGTGCTATACCAAATAATGTGGGGGCAAGGACGACGTGAGTGGGGAGCGCATTCCAGGCACGGGACACACGGAGTGAGAAAGAGTTTCGTCGACAATCAAGTCGGCTGTAGTGTGTAGCCAGTTTGAGCTGCTGACTTCTCAGGTTGGTATTTTGGCTCAGCTGCAAGAGACTGCGACATGGGTGATTTGTATTCATCAGTATTAAGAAGACCATGATGAGGTCTCCTCGGTGACGACGATATTCACCACTGTACAATCCCAGAGACTGCAGTCTGTGTTGGTAGGGTATGTGAAACAAGCCTCTGTTACCGCTCGCCTTGGAAAACTGGTCCAAATTCCCCACGAAGCTGCCAGCGGAAATTCGATTAAACGCATCAGGTACGCTGCCACGGATTACCAACGACTCACGGGGAGTGATCAAATTGTTGAACCATCCACTCATGCAACTTTGTGAAGGCATAGATTTATCGACAACCACAATATCCCACGAAACACGGCTGAACACGGGGGACCAGCAGGGCCCGGAAGGCCGCGATCAGTCGTCTAACCGAAAGCAAACTCAAAGGCAAACGTCACCACAAAAAAACGGTCAGTGGCCGACCCGTTAACGGTCGGCACAAACTCCATACCTACCACAACCTGTGCTAGCTCACTCTTGGTTACAAAAGCACTATCCTGCATGTATACTAATGCACAAGGCCTCATAAGTAAGTTGGTAGAACTCCGTCACCGTTTGGCTTCGGAGCCTCGAGACATCATAATGATCGCCGAAACCTGGCTGAGCGGCGAAATCATAGACGCTGAGATTGCCATACCGGGTATGTCACTTCTCCGGAACGACAGAACTGGCAAGGGCGGTGGCGTGCTCATTTGACTTGTGTCACCGACGTCCTTTGGTGCAA